TGATAGTGTGTGAGAGAGTTTGCTAGTGTGTGAGAGAGTTTGATAGTGTGTGTGAGAGTTTGATAGTGTGTGAGAGTTTGATAGTGTGTGAGAGAGTTTGATAGTGTGTGCGAGAGTTTGATAGTGTGTGTAATAGAGTTTGATAGTGTGTGTGTCAGAGTTTGATTGTGTGTCTGAAAGAGTTTGATAGTGTGTGCGAGAGTTTGATATTGTGTGTGAGAGAGTTTTCTAGTGAGTGTGAGAATTTGATAGTGAGTTTGAGAGTTTAAAAGTGTGTGAGAGAGTTGGTAGCGTGTATAATAGAGTTTGATAGTGTGTGAGAGAGTTTGATAGTGTTTGAGAGTTTGATAGTGTGTGCGAGAGTTTGATAGTGTGTGAGAGAGTTTGATATTGTGTGCAAGAGTTTCGTAGTTTGTGTAATAGAGTTTGATAGTGTGTGTGAAAGTTTGATTGTGTGTGAGAGAGTTTGATAGTGTGTGTGAGAGTTTGATAGTCTGTGCGAGAGTTTGATAGTGTGTGAGAGAGTTTGATAGTGTGTGCAAGAGTTTCGTAGTTTGTGTGTCTGAGAGAGTTTGATAGTGTGTATGAAAGTTTGATTGTGTGTGAGAGAGTTTGATAGTGTGTGTGAGAGAGTTTGATAGTGTGTGCGGGAGTTTGATAGTGTGTGTAAGAGAGTTTGACAGTGAGTGTGAGAGAGTTTGATAGTGTTTGTGAGAGTTTGATAGTGTGTGTGAGAGAGTTTGATAGTGTGTGTGAGTTTGCTAATGTGTATGAGAGAGTATGATAATGAGTTTCAGAGTTTAATAGTGTGTTTGAGAGATTTTGATAGCGAGTGTGATAGTTTGATAGTGTATGTGAGAGTATGATAATGAACGTGAGAGAGTTTGATATTGTGAGAGAGTATGTTAGTGTGTGAGAGAGTTTGATTGTGTGTGTGAGAGTTTGCTAATGTGTATGAGAGAGTATGGTAATGAGTGTGAGAGTTTAATAGTGTGTTTGAGAGAGTTTGATAGCGAGTGTGATAGTTTGATAGTGTGTGTGAGAGTATGATAGTGAGCGTGAGCGAGTTTGATATTGTGAGAGAGTACGTTAGTGTGTGAGCGAGTTTGATAGTGAGTGTGAGAGTTTGATAGTGTGTGTGAGAATTTGATAGTGAGTTTTAGGGTATTTGATTGTGAGTGTGAGAGAGTTTGATAGTGAGTGTGAGAGTTTGATATTGTGTGTGAGAGAGTTTGATATTGTGAGAGAGAGTTTGGTTGTGTCAGAGAGTTTGATAGTGAGTGTGAGAATTTGCTAGTGAGTCTCAGAGTTTAAAAGTGTGTGAGAGTGTTGGTAGTGTGTGTAATAGAGTTTCATAGTGTGTGAGAGAGTTTGATAGTGTGTGCGAGAGTTTCGTAGTGTGTGTAATAGAGTTTGATAGTGTGTGCGAGAGTTTGATAGTGTGTTGAAGAGAGTTTGATAGTGTGGGCGAGAATTTGGTAGTGTGTTGAAGAGAGTTTGATAGTGAGTGTGAGAGAGTTTGATAGTGTGTGCGAGAGTTTGATAGTGTGAGTGAGAGAGTTTTATACTGAGTCAGAGAATTTGATAGTGTGTGCGAGAGCAAGCAGAGCTATCCTTAATCAATTCTAGCCTGGGGTCTCTGATTACTAATCCTATAGATGCATCAGTCATTACAAATTTCCTCCTCTCTATGAAGCTCCCAAACCTCATCACGACAGCAGAAGAAAAATTCAATGCTAATATAACATTATCTGAGCAAAACAGCTGGACCAGATGGCTCCTGCCTAGAGTTTCATAAAGGCTTCTTATTATAAGCCCACTCCTGCTGAGAATGTTTCATGACTCCATGAAAACAAGAAACTGCCAGACTCAATCTACTCTGCAAATTTGTAATTTTTTAATCTTTAATTTTGAAAAAAAAGAGGATACAGATACATCCTCATATAGTCCCATTGCTCTTCTTGGAAGCAACCTAAAAGTGTTCTCTAAGATCCTTGCTAACAAATTGAATGCATGTGTCTTTTCCATTATACACCAGGACCAAACTGGCTTCATTCCTGGGAGATTTTCTATTTTAATGTGTGTTGGCTTATGAATACTGTGCATGAAAAGCATGATAGATTTGCTATTTTAGCTTTAGATACACATAAAGCATTTGATCAGGTTGAGTGGAAATACATTTTAGCTGTCATAGAGGGATTTGGTTAAGGTCAAAACTTTGTCTCGTAGGTTGAGGTTCTGTACCTCTGTCCTTCTGCCTCAAACCTTACCAATAGTGACAGGACACCCCCATTCCCCCAGAGGCTCACACTTTGCAGCTTTCTCTTAGAAATGTACTGTATAAATAAAGTTTACTTACTTACTTACTTCAAAGTTACAGATAAACAAAATATCTTGAGGTCACAGAGATTTTAAAATGCTTTACGACCTGAATTAAAAAGTTAGGGTTGACAACAGGGGCCTGGTGAGTGCTTCCACCCTCATTGATAGGTAAGTTTAATGCAATCAAAACTGTAGTATTACTGAGATTTCTGTATTTATTTCAAAATCTCCCAATAGTTTTAAATAGAATCCTTCTTTAAGAGTCTGGACTCTGTGATTATGCCTTTTATTTGGGGATATAAATTACACTGTGTAGCCAAAAACACACGTCTGTAAACCCAGGGATATTGGAGGTCTGACTTTACCCTGCTTCCAGCACTACTATTGGAGGACAAATGCAAGGATTTAAATTATTGGAATACACAATTATGTTAAGACCAACATTGCCAACATTAAAGCATGCCAGCCCCTTAAGAATTTTTTTTTCTTATGGCCTCAGATCCGGATATAAAAGGTCTAGTGTCAAGGTTTAAAACCAGTTTAAAAAAAAAAAAACATTCCCCATCTACCCAGAACCTCAAAGAATTATGGGAAAAGGATTTGAAAATAGGGATCTCTGATGACTCCTGGACAGAAGCTTTGCGGGGCATTCAGTCATGTTCCATCATTTCAAATTATCAGATAATTTGAAGTAACACATGGACTACACTACTCTCAAACAAAGTTACGTTCTATACATCCATCTATATCCCCCTATGTGTTAAATGTAAGTGCTATGAAGGCCCATTTATTTCAGAATTACATATGTCCTGGTCAGAGGTATTTGGTTGTTATTCTCATGTATTTAAAATTGACTTCCCCCCAGACTCTGCAATTGCCATCCTAGGTTGGTAACCAAACATAGAGGCCTATGGTCACTGTAAAAGCCAGGTGATCCAATATGGTATGAGAATAGCTAAAAAAAAAAACATTTTTTTCATGGTTTGGGACAGAGAAATTGTACCCAAGTACAATGAGCTCTGTAATACACTGCACATAGAGAAGATCATGAAGATATAAATGTGCTGGGAAATCTAGTAGATTTTCAGACACTTGGAATCTTCCTCTTACCAATCTAAATGACCAGCAAGGTCCAACACGTAGTGTCTGAAGTGTAAATGGGTACCAAACATGTAAATGTTTACAAAATGCATAAATTAGTTTCCTCACTTTTTGTTATCTGGCAAAGTAGGCACAGTTTACTGTTACTGTTTGTCTGTTTGCTTGTTGTGTTGTAAAATTATAAATGAAGTATATATATATATAAAAATCAGAAATTCTAGAAGATCTGGAAGTTCTGAGGCATGTCTCAGGTAATACAAGCAGATTTGGAAAGTGGGATTAAGAAAATAAATGTAATTATATTTTCAAAAGATATGCAGAATTAAAGCCATTCATCCTGTATTGTGCAGGAGCCTCACAAAAAGTTTATAAAATCTAGGCTATAACATGTAGAAGTGTTTTTAGGATATTAAAATTAGATCTATTTAGGTGGTCAATGACGATGTGTGATCTGATAAATTGCATATCAGTAACCGTTTTATTAATACCCTTCCCCAAGATTTTACATAGCCAGACAGCGGGTGGGTGGAGGGGGTACTAAAATGCTAAAGTTTGTTTATTTGTACAATACAGTTGTTTATTTATTTGTGTAATACATTTGTACCGTACATATAACTGAAGATACTCTTAGAAAATACTAATTTTGGACAAATGCTCTGGATATGCACTCATTTTTTTGTGTTTAACTGCATTCAATCATGGACTTTTTTGCCACATGTCATAGTTTAAATAGGCTGAAGTAAGCAACACTTATAAGATATTAATTGTATATATTGTAATATATTGTAATACATCAATTGTAATATATAGATCTCACAAGCTTTTATTTTTAATATAGTAATTATTAAATATTTAAAACAATTAAATATAGTAATATTAATTTTTTGGCAGAAATTGTGGAACTACTATAAACTGTATCAACAAGCAATGATAAAATTCTTCTCTCTCGAGACTTAAACGTACATATTGATAATCTAACAGACAGTAATGCATTAAAATCCACTAGACTTCTAGAGATATTTGATTTGAAGCAACACGTGGGCAGCTGTTCCACATGCTCTGTTACATCCTGAATCTGGTGATCACTAAAGGTTAAATACAGGGTGATTCAAAAAGATTCATCCAATTTCAAAGCGCCATATTTTTAAAACAGTGAGGCGCCTAGGAACCAATCAGAATCCAATTAATAGTGTTCAATTAAATTTCTAAATTTCATAAAGTATTTTTGGTATTTCTTTTTAACAATGTGTTATTGTCTTACTGTAAAACATTATCACCTGTCTGTATAAATAAAGATATTATTATTATTATTATTATTATTATTATTATAAACAACAGATTTAATATTTTTGACTCATGACATTGGTAGTAAGTGATTCTGATAGTATAGTTTATAATATGATATATTACATCATTTTAAAGTAAGTAGTACTTCAGGTATTTGTAGTGTAAAAATAACTCACTGTGTTTTCTTTAGTTTACAGTCTGAAACTGCTAGATCAGTGAGCTTCTTCACTCCTGTATCTCATTTGTAGTGTTTTGTAATTAGAAATATCTCATGCCTACAAATTGCTCACCTCAGTGTCAGTTTACATTTTAGGTCTTTTTGTAAATCAGTGAGCTTCTTCACTCCTGTATCTCCAGGATCATTTCCTCTGAGATCCAGCTCTATCAGGTGTGATGAGGAGTTTGACTTTAGAGCTGAAGCCAGATCAGCATATCCTTCCTCTGTTATACTGCATAATGTAAGTCTACAGAAAAACAAACAAAACAAAAAACAAACAAACAAAATGAGTCTGTTGACATTAAAAAAGACAAATAAAATACATTCAGTGTAAATCCCCAATATGGAATGACGCCTCTCTCTTCACCACCACAGAGATCATTACAGATGTTTTCATGTTTTATATATTTTATATTTAAAGTCATCTATAACTCACTTCAGTTTCTGCAGTTTACAGCACTGATTATTCAGTAGAGTACAGATCTGCTTCACTCCAGAGTTTCCTAGTTTATTCTCACTCAGATCCAGCTCTGTCAGGTAGGAAGGATTTGAACAAAGAGCTGATGATAGAGCAGCACAACCTTCCTCTGTAATACTGCACTTATTTAGCCTGCAGACAGAGAAAGATGGTGGAGATAAGATTAAAACAACTGATTTTGGAAAGAACAGTTATAAATGATCTTTTATACTAGTAAACATAGTGTTAAACTAATTATATATTATAACATTTTACATTAAATTTAAAACATTAATAATCACACTACACACTTAAGTTTCTGAGTTGTGCAGTGTGAATCCTTCAGTAAATCAGAGATCTTCTTCATTTCTGAGTCTCCTTGTATTTTCCCACTCAGATGCAGCTCTTTCAGCAGTAAGGGGTTTTTTCCTAGAGCTTCGGTCAGAGAATCACAGGCTTTCTCTGCAGCAGTTTTCAAAAACCTGCAGAAAGTAAAGTACTTCATCATACTGTAACATAATGGCTCGCTCTAAGGGAGGATCAAACCCAGACTTCCTTGTGTGGGTGGCTGGTGTAAACTCAGTAAGCCACCACCAGAGAATGAGGATGGGAGAGAAAGGACAGAGGCAGAGCACAGAACATGCACAAGAAAGAGACTCAAAAATGAGACCTGAGAGTATAGTCAAGGAGCCTCTCTCTGTTGGTTGAAATCTAGCTCAGCATTTTTGTAGCGAAGTAGTGAAGGGAGGTGAAACATGATATTAGTTAATATTACTGTTTCACACCTGCTTGGTAAACTACCTTAAGTATTTGTGATGTAAAAATATTTACCTTGCCTTCAGTTTACAGTTTGGATCCTTTAGTAAATCAATGATTAGCTCCACTCCTGTATCTCCAGGATAATTTCCTCTGAGATCCAGCTCTATCAAGTATGATGAGGGGTTCGATTTCAGAGCTGAAGCCAGATCAGCATATCCTTTCTCTGTTATACTGCAGTCTGAAAGACTGGAGAGAGAACATATGAGCACTGCTCTAAAACAGCACAATGAAAGTACTTTTAAATTAATCATTCATACAAAATTTGTATGAAACTGTTTTCTGACCCCAAACATAATCAATCAGCCAACATGTGTTTGGTGTTCAGAGCTTTGTCTTTTAATTTGGCCCTAGTGCTATAATGGCAATGCAACTAAAAGTTAATGGAAGCGTATTTCACCCAAAATTGTAATTTATAGCGTAGACTTCTATTTGTTATATTACTTGAACTTCTTCTATTACTAAAGAAGAATCTTTGAACACTTGTGGAGAAGGGGGCATGGACGAGCATCGAATGCAGGATGGAGAAGCCAGTCTGGTTGAACCAGCGGGCTAAGTAGCAATCTCTTCCTTCAGTAAGTGGCAGAGCCCAGAGAGAGAAGGAGACCACTGAAGGTGTGAGAGCTGAGCTGAGCTGAGTTGAGTTGGGAAGAAGTGGAAAGAAAGGACTGAAAAGTCCCAGCAAGCGTCTTGTCTGATTTTGTGATCAAAATCACAAAGTCGAGTATTTTTGTTTGCGTTGTGCATGAGTAATAAACAAAGAGCTCTCCATCTTCACACCTGCCCCCCGGCATCTTTCCTCCTCCCACCGTTGAAGTTTCAACAGTGGTGCCGAAACCCGGGAAGGATTGGACGAACGTCGCCATGGAGTCCTCATTGCTTGGAGAGTTAGTTAAAGCCCTCTTCCTCCTGCAGCAGACCCAACACCAAGCTCTCCTGGACATCCAGTAGGAAAACCAGGCCCACTTCGAGGCCCTGGCTCAGGGCCAAGAGGCGGACAGGAAGCTTTTCCGGAGTTTGTTATCAGCCACCAGTACTCCAGCTACCATCTCCATCTCGAAGATGACTCCCCAAGACAATCCCAAAGCGTTTGTGGAGCTCTTCGAGAGAGTGGTGGAAGACTGGGGGTGGCCGAAAAAGGACTGGGCCATCCGACTGCTGCCCCTGCTCACGGGGGAAGCCCAGCTGGCCGCCCAACAGCTCCCTGCTCAATCGCAGCTGGAGTACAACAAGCTGAAAAAGGCCATCCTCCAGAGGTTTGGTCAAACTCCGGAGCAACACTGTCAGCAGTTATGCATGCTGACACTCCAAGAGTTTGTCCGGCCCTTTGTGCTGGCGCAACAATTCCGAGATTCCTGCAGGAGGTTGCTCTTGTCAGAAGTTCGCGATTCCGAGGAGGTGCTCGACCTGGTGGTGCTGGAGCAGTTCATCACACACTTACCCAAGGAGATGGCAGCGTGGGTCCAGTGCCACCAACCGAAATTGCTGGACGAGGCCACCAAGCTGGCAGAGGCGCAACTGGTGGCGTATTCGGGGGCAGGAACCCCCACCCAGCCACTATCTCTCTCTCTTCTCTCTCTCTTTCTTTTTCCACTCCCAGAAAGAAGGGAGCTCTAGCCCCCAAACCCAAAGAATTGGCATGGACCTCTTCGGGCCATTAGATCGAAGCGCATGTGGGTATCATTTTGTATTGGTCTTGGTAGATTATGCAACGCGATATCCAGAGGTGGTGTCTCTTTGCAACCTTTGGGCATGTACCCAGTATCAGTCAGGCATGATCCTGACTGATCAGGGCACGACGTTCATGTCACGCACCTTACACGAACTATACGAGTTGTTGGGCATTAAATCAATTTGTACCAGTGTTTACCATCCCCAAACGGATGGTCTGGTCAAACGCTTTAACCAAACCCTTAAAAATATGATTCAGAAGTTCGTACATGGGGATGCCAAGAACTGGGATAAGTGGCTAGAACCCCTGTTGTTTGCCATGCGAGAGGTCCCGCAAGCCTCCTCTGGGTTTTCTCCTTTTGAATTATTGTATGGGAGGAAACCCAGGGGCGTCCTAGACGTCATTAAAGAGTACTGGGAGGAAGAACCTTCAAACAGCAAAAATGAAGTTCAGTACGTTCTTGACCTGAGAGCAAAACTCCAAGCACTGAGGCACTTAACTCAGGAGAATTTGCTCCAGGCTCAAGAACGTCAGAGCCGCACCATAACAGGGGCGCTCGACTACATAGGTTTTCACTGGGAGACAAAGTACTCATTTTACTCCCCACATCGAGCTCCAAACTGCTTGCCAAGTGGCAAGGACCCTTTGAGGTCACACGGCGAATGGGAGATGTTGACTATGAGGTCAGATGGACAGACAGAGGCGGGGCACTTGAGATATACCACCTCAATCTCGTTAAACCTTGGAGGGAGGCAGTCCCTGTTTCTCTGGCGACGGTGGTCCCCAAGAGAGCCGAGTTGGGGCCAGAGGTCCCAACCAAATTTAATCACACTCTGGTCCCCTGTGGGGACCAGCTCTCCCTGTCCCAGAAAGCAGAGGTGGCAAGGTTACAAATGGAGTTTTCCGACGTGTTTTCACCTCTGCCTGGCCGTACTGACCTCATAGAGCACCACATTGAAACTCCTCCTGGCTTGGTTGTACACAGCCGGCCTTATCGCTTGCCTGAGCACAAAAAAAGGTGGTTCAGGATGAAATTAAGGCTATGCTCGATATGGGGGTAATCGAAGAATCGCACAGTGATTGGAGCAGTCCCGTGGTGCTTGTCCCCAAGCCCGACGGGACCGTTCGTTTCTGTGTGTACTACAGAAAAGTCAGTGTGGTGTCTTAATTTGATGCCTATCCAATGCCGCTTATTGATGAACTGCTCAATTGGTTAGGTGCTGCTCGTTTTTACTCGACACTGGACTTTACTCGACACTGGACTTGACCAAGGGATACTGGCAGATTTATGATGCTGCCTATTTAGATGACATTATCATATACAGCAATGATTGGCAGCGGCACATGCAACATCTGAGGGCGGTTCTGAGATCACTGAGGCAGGCGGGGCTTACAGCTAACCCAAAGAAGTGTGCGATTGGACAGGTGGAGGTACGGTATCTGGGCTTCCACTTGGGTCACGGACAGGTACGTCCTCAAATTGATAAGACTGCGACAGCCCTCTGTGGGTGCCCACTGCTGCATTCGCCTGACTTTGCTCTCCCTTTTGTCTTGCAGACAGATGCGTTGGACAGAGGACTGGGAGTGGTTTTGTCCCAGGTGGTGGAGGGGCAGGATCGCCCCGTGCTGTACATAAGTCGAAAATTATCGCCTAGGGAGACTAAGTACAGCACCATTGAAAAAGAATGTCTGGCCATCAAATGGGCAGTGACCATTGAAAAAGAATGTCTGGCCATCAAATGGGCGGTCTTCACCCTCCGCTATTACCTATTGGGGCACCCTTTCACCCTCTGTTCTGACCACGCCCCTCTCCAGTGGCTCCACCGCATGAAGGACGGCCTGCGTCGGGCGGTGGGGGTATGTGGAGAAGGGGGCGTGGCCGAGCATCAAATGTAGGACGGAGAAGCCGGTCTGGCTGAACCAGCGGGCTAAGTAGCTGATAATGTTCACCTGTGCCTTGTTTCTGCCAGCCTACTTATAGGCAATCTCTTCCTTTAGTAGGCGGCAGAGCCCAGAGAGAGAAGGAGACCACTGAAGGCGTGAGAGCTGAGCTGAGCTTAGTTGAGTCGAGTTGAGTCGGGAAGGAGTGGAAAGAAAGGACTGAAAAGTCCCAGCAAGCATCTTGTCTTATTTTGTGGGCTTTTTTGCTAACTGTTTCTGTAAATGTAAAAGAGGCATGTATGCAAATATTTTAAATGCAATTTTGCTTATGTGGATGATTGTGTTGATTTTTGTGTTGCCATATGTAAGTCTTCACTTCAATTCCTAAACTTTTTAGCTATGTATTGTATGTACAAATTTCATTGTATTAAGATGAATAACTGAATAATAAGCATACAGTGTGAGAGAACTACAGCTCACCCCAGTTTCTGCAGTTTACAGTGCTGATTGTTCAGTAGAGAACAGATCTGCCTTACTCCAGAGCTTTCTAGTTTATTCTTGCTTAGATCCAGCTCTAGCAGATGTGAAGGATTTGAACAAAAAGCCGATGACAGAAAAGGACAGCCTTCCTCTGTAATACTGCAAAATGAAAGACTGAAGAAAAGAGAGAATCATAATACAAAAAAAATCAAGTCAAAATTCAAGGATTCAGTTTAATCTCTATTAAGGTTAATTAAAACACTAACTTTAGTTTTGCAAGTGTGCAGTTTGAATTCTTCAGTAGAGAACAGATCTGATTCACTCCAGAGTTTCCTAGTTTATTCTCACTCAGATCCAGCTCTATCAGGTGTGAAGGATTTGAACAGAGAGCTGATGATAGAGCAGCACAGCCTTTCTCTGTAATACTGTTATTATTCAGCCTGTAGACAGACAGGTAGAGTGGAAAAATAATTTTTAAAAAATTGCTGGGGTGAAAGTATAAAAGGAAGAAGAAATTTGACTTGATCTCACCAAGATACTATCTGCAAATGCTTTGTAAATTGCATAATACAACTTAACTTTTCATTTCATTAATTAAAATACATAAAACTACACACTTCAGTTTCTGAGTTCTACAGTGTAAATCCTCCAGTAGATCAGAGATCTTCTTCATTTCTGAATCATCTTGTATTTTCCCACTCAGATCCAGCTCTCTCTGCAGTAAGGGGTTTATTCCTAGAGTTTTAGTCAGAGAATCACAGACCTCCTCTGCAGCAGGACTTAACAACCTGCAGATAAAAGAAGTTACTTCTCATCTACAATCTTGTGACATCATGTACAACACCCCCCACACAAAAAACTATTACATATTAATAGATGACAAAATGTTACATTTGTTATGTGGAAAATTTGATGCTATATACAGTTACACATTTAAAAGCTACAAAGTTCATTTGTAGGGTTTTGTAATTTAGAAATATTTCACCTCAGTGTCTTCAGTTTACAGTGTGGATCCTCTAGTAGATCAGTGAGCTCCTTCACTCCTGTATCTCCAGGATCATTCCCTCTGAGATCCAGCTCTATCAGGAGCGATGAGGGGTTTGATTTCAGAGCTAAAGCCAGAGCAGCATATCCTTCCTCTGTTATACTGCAGCATGAAAGACTGAAGAAAGAGAAATTACAATCAAAATCTTAAATTTTGGTTTATTCTGTTTTCCTTGCCATTAGTACCATATTGTTTATACCTACAATACAAATTATATACATACAGTACACCTGTTAATACACTGATAACTATAAAGTTAAATGGTTTATATATTTAGCATGTTAGCTCTTAATAATGTAATAATAAATGACCATCAAAATTGGATGTGTAGTTAAAACCCAATTTCACAAAGTAATGAAATATAATTTCACAATATACAGATCTTAACTGACCAACCAATTATCTTCTAAAATTACAACTTAAGTTCTTCTTGCTTATAAGAAATCATCTAATCATCTAGTTGATACATATCTGCTCACCACTGGCTTGTTTGCTTGATGAAGAGAACATAACAGAGTTGAAATCAGACAGCAAAGATGTACAAGGCCAAGAGAAAAAATACAGAAAACCCAAAAACCTAAACCTAATCATTCTAGGGCTAAAGCATATTACTATGGCAGGCACATCAGCTTTTGTAGTAAAAGAGCATTTTAAATACGAAATTCACAGAAGACTGACAATGAAGATTTTTTAATAGTTTGTTTATTGCTTTGGCTGGGTAGAAAATGACACATTCTACAGCAGAAGACAAAAGTGACAGAATCTCACTTTTAAATCTTCCCATATGCATCTTTAAACCGCCCCTTGAGCTTCAAATTCAACCACTGGCATGCTGAAAATGAACTGAAGACTGAAATGCAATGATAGCAAATGCATGTGATAGCATCGCTTGCTAGGCAGTGATGGGAGGGTGGAAAAACGTTTTTGCAGAGAGCATATATATTTGACATATTTTGCATATTTGCATATAAGTGGCTTAGAAAGTGTGTGTGTGGATAGGGTTGCACATATGATCTCAAGAAAACCCATAGTAGAGGGTAGGAGCATAATGAAATGGTACTTGAGCATTGCACATCAAAGGAAACATGAAGTACATGATGTACTTGGACACATTAACAGAGAATTTAATCCCTTCTACCAAGAAAGTGGAAATGATGGGCTTTTCAACAACACAATGACTGCAAACATATAGACAAAATAATTCAAGACTGTTTTCTAAAACACTGAAGCTTATTAATGGAGATAGGTTGCAGACTTATCTGTTGCAGAGTTATCTATTGGGTAGCCCTAGCCCACACAGCCCACAGACAGCCCTCAGTAGGCCCACACAGGCATGTTTGCAGGGTCTCCATTTTAAAAAAACTATAAGATATTGGAGGTTTGTAATTGCTTGCAGTGGACTGACTTCCAAAGTCACAGAGTGCATTGAGTTTACTGAGGGATCTTTTGGAAGTGCTGGTTGAGGTGTTATTCCAGAATGCCAATTTAAGGGGTTGGTTATGGATTTTGATACATAAACCTTATTCCAGTTAACTGGCATTCCATTAAAAAGCTTTATAATAATAATAATAATAATTATATATATATATATATATATATATATATATATATATATATATATATATATAATTTTTGTTTTGTTTTTGTTGGGTTATTTTGTTGGAATATATCCAGTTAGTGTTAATTCTGTGGAAAGTCTCTGTAATTGTGTGTCACACATTCTTCTGGCTCTAAGAACTACACTTCCCAGAACTCTCTTGGAGATTACGTGACTGCTGATCTGGTAATAACGACCAATCAACACTCTCCCTCACCTGAAAACTACTCTGGTACACCTGTTTTGCTTGTCACATGAGTCTAGTCAGTTAGTTCATAAGCCCAGGCTTTTAGCTTAGCAATTTGTGAGGTATTGCATTATTTCTTTGAGCTCCTGAGTGTTCTATATTCTCTTTGCCTTGTGTGTATTTGAACTGTCTTTTTGGACTGTTTTGAATTTGACCTGTGCATGTTCTTTGACTATGAGCTTGGATCATGTTTCAAACAGTAAAGCCTCTTCTTTTAACAACATCTGGAAGTGTTGCATTACAGGATACCTCACCTACCGTGCAGACGGCAGATTCGGAGGCTATGCAGAAAGCCATTGTTAATCAAGGTCTGCTGTTGGGTCAGCATCAGCAGGTACTGTGTGGGGTTATGTTAAAGAACTGACTTCTCAGTTACAGCTCCTAAGTACTGCTAGTAGTACTCATAACCCCGTGAGCATCTCCTCACCTGCTGAGGTCCTTTGTTCTAGTTTTTCTGTAAGTAAGCCTGATAAGTGTGACAGCAACCCTGACAAGTGCTGTGGATTTTTACTCCTGTGTTCTACTTCTTTTTAACAATTCCCCACCACGTTCAGATTTAATTAAAATCTCTTTTGTGGTATGGTAGATAGGGCTCTGGAGTGGGCAACCACCATCTGGCCCAAGCTACAGTCCATATCTTACAAACAGTTTGTAATTTGGAGTTTCGCACTGTGTTCGATCAGCCACATGATGGAAAGCTTAGTGGAGAACTCCTTTTGAAGCTGCGTCAAGGAAAACATGCGGTAGCAGAATATGCATTGGAGTTCCAAACCCAGTAGTGGGTGGAATTAGCTGGCTCTGTTAGTTATGTTTTGCCAGGGCCTCAACTCAGATATCCTCACTGAACTAGCCTGTTGAAATGATGAACTGACACCAATTGATCTCTGTTTCTATTCATCTGGACCAACTTTCCCGGGACCTTAGGGCTCATCTATCACAAAACAACCCTTCAATCGGCGCTCCATGTAAACAACATGAGAGATGTTCCTCCAGTGACCAGGAAGAGGCCATGCAATGTGACATGTCTTGTCTGTGCGCTGAGGAAAGGAAGAAGTTGTACACATACGTACAAGAAGCAATAAGTTTTATTAAACCATCAATTTCTCCTGCAAAAATCCAAATTCCTCAGCCAGCAGGGAAACGTCAAAACATTCACACAAATACACAATACAAAACAAATGAAAAACCAGTGTAAAGTGGCAGCCATATTGTGTCAGCGTATTTACAAGAGAATGGACATGTGCATACAAAGAACAGGCAATATCCCCCAATTATACCCCATAGCCTTCTACTCTCACAAGCTCAATCCAGCAGAACATAATTATGGCATCAGAGATCATGAGCTCTTGGCAGTTAAACTAGCATTAGAAGTTAGAGGGGGCTGATCATCCATTCACAGTGTTAACTGACCACAAGAACCTGGAATACGTGTGCTACACTAAGCATTTAAATCCCTGTCAAGTGAGATGGTCGTTATTCTTCTCCAGGTCCAACTTTAATATAACTTATAGACCCAGGTCATGTAAAACCAAAGCTGATGTGCTTTTGAGAATCTATCAAGAAGAAAAAAAGAGGGAGACAGTAAGCCAACCCCTGAAAACATTCTGCCCCCACACGTTCAGATTTCTACTCTTTGTTGGTCTATTGACGAAGAAATTGAAAAAGCTTTAGAGAAAATAACCGCTTGTGTTCAATGCCCCGCAGAAAAGATCTGTGTCCCAGAGGAGTTTTGGGACCAACTCATAACTTGGGTCCATTCATCACTCACAACCAGTCATCCAGGGGAGACACACACAACTCATTTCTAACAGATACTGGTGGGAGTCGATGAATTAAGACATACACAAATTCGTAGCCTCATGCTCCACATGCTCACAGTGTAAGACTCCAAAGACATTACCAGCAGGCAAGCTTATGCCATTACCCATTCCCAACAGACCATGGTCACATATAGCTTTAGACTTTGTCACAGACCAAATTCTCAGGGTTATACCACAATACTCACAATGATTGACAGGTTTTCCCAAAGTGTACATTTCATCCCGTTTACATCACTACCTACTGCTTTCCAAACAGCAGAGACTTTAGTAAATCAGGTTTTTTATTTCTTTGGTATATCAAAAGATATAATTTAAAGTCCCCAGTATGTCATGTTTCGGCATGTTATTTAATTTGGACAGAGAAGGCACAAAACTCACTCATAAGCAAGACTACTGGACTCACTCCCTTCCAATGTGTTCTCAATTATCAACCTCCTGTAGCCCTGTAGAGTGGAATCTCGTCTGATGTTCCAGCTGTAGATAGCTGGACACAGTGCAGTGAAAGAGTCTGGGAGGAGAGGCATCAAAGGATTGAGGCCGTCCTCCAATGACAAGATCCAGGCTGACCACCATTGAGGAGAGATCCCTTCATACCAACCTGGAGACCGGGTATGGCTCTCGGCACATAATGTTCTGGACCCAGCACTGATTGCGGACTTCCACAGGCAACATCTGAACAAACCTGCTCCTTGCCTCAGAGTTCGGCCCAGAAAAGATGTCACCAGTTCCTGTCCTGTTCATCATCGCAGGAGAATCAGTCCAGCACCACGGCAGCTCTGGGTCTGCTCTTGTTTTCACTTCTAGTGGTGCAGTTGGTGGTCTCTTTCCTTGGCTGCCCCGGACTCTTTGTGGGGATGACGTACTATCCCACATTCTGAGAACTACACTTTCCAGAACTCTTTCGGAGATTACATGACTGCTGATCAGCCAACGACAACCAATCAACATTCTCCCTCACATGAATACCACTGTGTTATATCTGTTTTGCTTGTTACATGAGTCTAGTGAGTTAGATCATAAGCCCGGGCCTTTAACTTAGCAATTTTGAGGTATTGCTTCATTTGCGTCAGCTACTGAGTGTTCTGTATTGTTTTTGCCTTTTGTGTATCTGGACTGTGTTTTTGGACTTTTGACTTGGATTTTTGTCTTTGCTCTTTTGATCTTGGTTGCCTGACTCTGTTATGATTTTTCTCATGTCTTTTTGGACTGTTTTGGATCTGACCTGTGCATGTGTTTTCACTACAAGCTTGGATCATGTTTCAAACAGTAAAGGCTGTTCATTTCACAGCATCCACAAGCAACTGTGCAGTTGTGTTGCGTTACATTGTGCTTTGTTTAATTTATCAGAATTTAAGGTCTGACAGCATTATATTACCATAAACCGTAAATAATTCCACAGAACTATAATAATAATTTCTCATATGGTAGGTTAAAAAGAGATAACCATGGACAAGTTATAACAGATCTACCAGGATCTGACTTCATTTTCTAGCATTAAAAGTTCTTTTGTTTAGATGACATCAACAAAAGTGTCTTGGCAATTGACATATTGTTATAGAGGTCTGCTGTGTCTAAATCCTTAGTCAACCTAAGAAACTGGACTAAAACAAGACGTTTTATAGACAAGCCCATTTATAGTCTTGTTTACATGCACACCTGCACAGTTTAACTTTACAACAGTAAATGCCCCTTCATAAAGCATGCAAATTTACCCAGGTATGAGTTTTCTACCATTTAAAAATATTTTTTTTTGATTTTTTTCTCATTGCAATTAACTGTAACCTGAGGGCTACTGATTATTAGCAAGGCCATAAACTGCAGGGCAATATACAAAAAGCTCAGGGCAGTGGGCATCTCTATCAGTCTGTGCAGCATCCACTCATGCTACTGTATGAACTGGCTTGTTAGGACTTTGAGTAACAATCTTATACCTGCTAGTGCACTGCTGATTATGCACATACACCAACTCTCCTGTTCCTGAATTCAAGGCTTTACCACAGTACTAGCCTGACGATCATGGATAGGCACTGTGACAATCAAGATCAACCTCAGCCAAGCTGAAAATATTCTATCACTGATTTCATTGCCACCACCTCCAGGATTCCTATGGATCGTACAACCCTAGGCTTAGGATTTAAAATACAATACATGCTTGGCAATAAAATCACTCACTAACAAACTTAAAAATTCTCGTCAGACACTAGAGCAAATCAGAACCTCCTCTTGCAGGGATGCTGGAAGAATCAGAGAATCAGAATCAAATTTGTGCTTACAGCAGAGGAAACACCTCAAAATTCACCACCCCCACTGTCACAAGAGCTCCAAAGTTCTTGGGTTCTCTGTAAACTGCTCCTCTTACCCAGAGCCCATTGCTTTAAAATGGAGGAACTGACTGGATACTGTTGTAAAGCAGTCGATGACATTCTACTATAGAGAAGAACAGGAAGCAGTTACCTCTGCACCATTAGAAGCCATTCCAGTGGGAGCAAAAGTGGAAAGGCATTTTGAGTTGATAGCTTTGAGTTGCCTGTAGTCAATGGACATTCCCATGGACCCATCTTTCTTCTACACTATCACTAAAAAACAGAAGAAAAGGTTGCTACGCTCCTAACCACGCCCAGTTCTAAAAGCTCTCAATGCCGTTTTTGACCTCCTTATACTGAATAGGCAGAATCCTCCAATATCTGGTGTCATGAACTACAGTTCTGCTAAGGTGTCTAAATATTTGATAATATCTATGTGAAAGAAAGTTTAAGAAGAGGGACATCTCTTCCATTAAAGAAAAGTGAAGCCTTATCTTCTTTTATGACTCACACTTGTTTTAGTATCATCGAAACAAGTGTGGTAGTACAGTAAAAGCTCCAAAATGTTGCAAAAGCTTTGTGTTTGTGTCAGAGACGTGATCTAAGTGTTTACAAATCTATCTTGAAAAGTCTGGCATATAAGTGGAAGTGGAATGATCAAAAACCCATATTGAACTTTTCCTCAGATAAACAGGTGAACGGATAATAGGTGATGCTGTTGGGTATAAATTGGATATAAAGGGGGTATTTATGAATGGCTCATTTGTAAGTTAGCTCACACGTAACAGATGGGTTGAGGTTCACCACTTTGTGGTAAAGTGTAGTCCAAACAGTTTAAGAATAATGTTTCTCAATAGACAATTCAAGGAATTTAGAGATTTTACCATGTACAGTCCATAACATAACATTATTAAAAGATTCAAAGAAACTGGAGAGTTCTCTACGCCTAAAGGGCAAGCCGAAAAAACAATATTAAATGCTTGTGACCCTGATACCTCAGTCGGCACTGCATTAAAAATCAACATGCTTCTGTAATGAATATAACCACAAGGGCTCAGGTTTACTTGGGTATATACCTTTTTGTAAAGGGTTCTATATAGCACCAATTAGGGTTCTACTATCATTGCAATGTCAAGCTTGCACACTCTTAAAATTATAGTTTTTTAAGGGTTGTTTAGTAAAGAAAATGTTTCTATAAAGAACCATGAACACTCAAAAGACCCTTCATATGATCATAGTTCTATACAGAATCGTTTTCTTTACTAAAGAATCCTTAAAGAGCTATCTTTTTTAAGAGTGTACATATTGCTCCTTTTTATAGTGATAGATAGCATAGTAATGCACAGAAAGCTTCCACTTTCATAACACATTTCCCTTTAAAGCATCAGATGTGCTACGTGAAACAGGTGTAGACACATTGTCTTCAATGTGTAGATCGATCATATTTGTATATGGGTGATCCCCTCCCCCAGTAGCTTAGTATGAATTAAATATTAACTTTTGCAACACAAAAATTTAAAAAGGAAGGAAGGAAATGGGGGAGTAATACAAGTATTCTGGATGTCCACTCCCAATTCAATATTGTCACAAAAAATAACATTTTAACTGTACACAAGCAATTAAACCAATGTAGTCCCGTTTTTTTCCATGCACCACAGTGGAGGAAACAGAGTGTTAATGTGATTTTCTCTCAGTTCAGTCCTTTTATTTACCCTTTGTTCATTCACAATGCAATGGACAGGCCTGTTAGTTTTTAAGATATACAACCTCTACACATATTAATGAGAGAGATGGACTCACCCCAAATTCTCCAATTTACAGTTTTCATTCTTCAGTCCTTCAGAGAGCAGCTCTACTCCTCTGTCCTGTATAGGATTCCTGCTCAGATCCAGAAAAGTCAGCTTAGAGGATTCTGAGCTGAGAACTTTAATCAGAGCTGAACAGCTTCTCTCTGTCAGGTTACAGTCACTTAGCCTAAACGTAAAATATATCAGACAGGTGTTAGTAATCTCAAAATCCTTTTATCCTACAATCCCTACATGTGTTATGAATCAGAAAATCATATCACAGAATTTGTACTATTTTATAAAACATCTTGATCACACTGTAGACTTTTATCAATACAATGATCAGAATGAATACACTACCAGAAAAATAGATAGTATGTTATATAGTATAATATACATAGTCTAAAACCTGTTTTAAATACATTTATTTAGAAATGATCACTTCTTGTACTGGCTATGCAACAATAAAATTTTACTATAAAAAATATACTGTTATACAATGAAACATTTTTAGATGCTTCAAGTTCATCCTACTTAAAGACTTCTTTTGGAATTTAGGGAACCAATTCTTAATGTTACGTGACAACTACAGTAGATCATTAATTTTTAAGGTGTTTTTTTACTGTTCAGTTACATAAGTATTAAAATGTGTTTTACCTAGTTGTGAGAAGAAACAGGTTTTACTTACAGAGCTGATGTGGCTTCCTTGACCACCAGTAGCAGCCTGTTAAGACACTCATCTGATCTGATGAACTTCTTTAACTCAAACACTTCCAGCTTCTCTTTGGATGTCAGCAGCACAAAGACCAGAGCTGACCACTGTGCAGGTGAGAGTTCAGCTTCAGAGAGACGTCCCGAGCTCATGTAACTCTGGATCTCTTTCACTAGAGAATCATCGTTTAACTCATTCAGACAATAGAAGAGATTGACTGATCTCTCTGGAGATGGATTTTCCTTAAACTTTAACTTGATGTACTCCACTATGTCTTTCTGGCAGTCAGACCTGCTTCCTGTCTGGGTCAGCAGACCTCGGATGAGCTTCTCATTAGACTCCAGTGAGAGACCCAGAAGGAAGCGAAGGAAAAGGTCCAGGTGTCCATGGTCACTCTTCAAAGCCTTGTCTACTGCAGTCTTGAGCAAATCAATGACTTCTGTTTTCTTGCTCTCCTGTGATTCAGACTGATGGTCTAAAACATTCTTGGTGCCATTTTTTAAAGAAATGTATGCAAATACAGCAGCAAGGAACTCTTGAATACTGAGATGTACAAAACTGAAAACTGTGTCATGAAATCTGACTGTCTCCTGAGTGCACAATCCTGAGTACACGGATATATTACTGAGGCTAATTTCACAGGCTTCTAGATCACTTGAATAGAATATCAGACTGTTTTTTTCCAAGTGCTGAAAAGCCAACTTTCCCAGTGAGCGAATGCCTTCTTCATCCCACGGTATGTCCAAGGCATTCTTTCCAATGTACTTTGCGTTCCCTTGTACGGTCTGAAAGATCAGAAAGCAGGTGTACATTTGTGTCAGTGTCTTTGGTGTGTCTTCACTCGCTGTTTCTTCCAGAATTCTCTGAAGTACAGAGGCTGAGATCCAGCAGAAGACAGGGATGTGGCACATGATGTGGAGGCTTCTTGATTCTCTGATGTGATCAATTATTTTGTTGGCCAGGTCCTGATCACTGATTCTCTTTCTGAAATATTCCTCTTTCTGCTCATCATTGAAGCCGCGCACCTCTGTCACTCGGTCGATACACTCAGCAGGGATCATACTGGCTGCTGCTGGTCTAGTGGTTATCCAGATCAGAGCAGAGGGCAGCAGATTTCCCTTGATGAGGTTCGTCATCACAGCGTCCAGTGGGGCTGCTTTTGTAACATTATTTAAGATTTCATTTTTCTGGAATTCCAAAGGAAGCTGACATTCATCCAGTCCATCAAGTATGAACAGGACTTTATTCTGATCAGTTAATCTTAGTCCTTGTGTCTCTGGGAAAAATAAATTGATGGTTTTCATTAAACTCTGACATTCCTTCTTCTTCAGGTTCAGTTCTCGGAAGGGAAGTGGGAAGATGAACTGGATGTCCTGATATTCTTTACCTTCAGCCCAGTCCAAAATAAACTTCTGCACAGAGATTGATTTTCCGATACCTGCAACCCCCTGGGTCAGAACAGTTCTGATGGGTTTGTCTTCTTCAGATACAAACATGTCCTTGCATTTGATCTGTACCTCTTGCTCCATTTGATTTGTGTGTCTTGTTACACTGGTTTTTTCAATAAGTCTCACTTCATGTTCTTTGTTGACCTGTCCAGCTCCACCTTCAGTGATGTACAGATCTGTGTAGATGGTGTTTAGACTGGTGGACTCTCCTTGCTTTGGAATTCCTTCACATACACGATCAAATTTCTTTATCAGGTCTTCTTTGAGTGGACGCTGTATAATTCCAATCAGCTCATCTAATTAGTCAATCATAAAACACAAAGAAGACAAATAGAAGTAAAACTTAATGTAATAAATTTCTGTGGAATAGTATATAAAGGTTCAGGCAACATGGTAAAAATTCAGAACTACCAGTTTGCATGCACACATTTACTTTGACATGAACATTAAAGAAATATAATATTTTGTCATCTATTCATCTCTTACTTTGCAGTGCGTCAGCGAGGTCTTCATGTTCCATCTTCTTCAGGTAGGAGAGTGTCATATTAAGAACCCCATGTCTCAAATTCCATTTGCTTTCCATTTTCAATTTGCTTTGTTTTGCTTTTCTATAATATGTTGTGTTTTCATTTCTCAGAATTTTCTTATATATATCCAGCTCATGCTTTACAAGTGCAATTATTTTCTTCTCAAGCTCCTAAAGAAAAAACAAAAAGAGATAAAAAAAAAAAGTTAAAAAATAATTGTACAATTTTAATTTGAATATAATTCTTATTGGAATAAGCCTTTAGAAATGTTTATGTAGGTTTATGTCAGATGTAATGAAAGTTTTATGAAAAACCCATATAGCCTAATGAACTTGACCTTAAGTAAAGTGTTAGCAAAAAGAGTTTATAGCCCAAATTTTTTGACCATAATGTTTTAGTAATTTGTTGCTTTATGGCATATGACAGAGCAATATACACTGTTAAAGTGCAGTATGTAAGTATCTGGAGCACCACATGTCATTTGGCTGTTTTTGTCATGGCTATATTCATAGGAATTACATTAATTTTAACATATAGTAACCCGATATAAGAGGACTAAGAGTTGTTAAACAGTTGGCTGATCAGTTGCTTAGTGGTTGTGTTACACTGAATCACAATCTGCATGATTCTAGATGTAGCACCGGAATATGGAGCCTGGTGATGATGAGCAATGTAAAGAAACACCTAGCATACTAAGGAAAATCAAAATAAGACATTAAAGAATACAATGCTTTTAATCCTGAAGACTACCATAAAGAGAAGAAAACACCAGCATCACCTCAGATGGCTGGTAAGCCTCAAGAACAGAAAGACCAGTCTAGAGATTGTTTAAGGACAGAAACAATTAAGATTAACCAACATCAGAGTGATAGAAAGAGGAAAATGTGGAAAATAATATGTATTTATTATTGTTGGTTAACTTTGATCTTGTTATAGATTGTGAAGTGCCTGGCTGATGTGTAAAAAACTAACATATTTTCTTGTTTAAAAAAAAAAAAATCAATTACACTCAGACTGCTACATGTGCATGAGTAAAAATGTCCCAAAGCCTAAATGACATGTTTTTATTTAAACATAGGAATGCTTAAGACAGGGTTACTTTCTGTTCCAAGGATAAAATGCAAAATGAGTGGTGAGGCTGCTTTTAGCTTTTATGCTCCTTCACTGTGTAACTCCCACAAGATATAGAACAAGCATCTTTTTTTAAAACAGGTTTAAAAAAGTAAAACATATGTTTTATACAGTCACTTAAAACTTATTTTTCTCTTCTGTTAAATTTAGTTCCTTTGTTTTCTTATACTTTTATTTGCCTCACTTTTCGTGAAGCACTTTGAGTTGTATTTTAATATATAATAAAAGGGGCTATACAAATGAAGTCATATTTATCATGATTATTATCGACATGGAATGACTATAGTTAACTAATTTTAAAGAAAACAGTACAATCAGCAGTATTATTTTGAAGGGTACATGCTAGCCTGCATGTTGCATCTGTCTGTTCTAAATGAACAGTGTTAAACCTTCTAGGACTTGTGCACTACATGTCTATGGGAGGCAAATCCAGCCAAAAAAGAAATTAAAATTAAAACCATAAAATGAAAATGCAAACCTCTTTTTGCCATTTCTTTTTCCAAACATCTGCGCAAATATCCTGCCAAAATTGAAAATTAAATGAAATGCCTACATTTGCAATTTCATTTTTCACATGAGCACAAGCCATTTGTGACAAAAATAAAAATAAATGTAAAACAGCTATTTTTCATTTCATTTTAGTCATTATTGTGGTTTTTCATGGCCAAATCTAAAATGAAAAAGCTAATAGAGAAAAGAAAATCCAAGCTTCACTTTGGCTTTGGCTTTTCTCCATGAAGTGCAGAATACGTGTCAAAACTAAAATGCAGTGTTTACATTGTTATTTCTTTTTCATGGCAATCGGCTGCAGATCTGACAAAATGAAAATGAAAATGCAAAACGGATAAATCAACAGCAAAGTGACGGTTTGTGATTCAGTTTTCGGTGTCGACGCGCTTTAAGTGTCAGAATGAAAAGGCAAATGCAAACGAACATCAGCGCCACCTGCTGGACTTTTACTTTTCATTTTCGACTTTTCGATTTCTTTTTCAAATTGACCAACATGCAAATATATGTTAATTAGCACTGGGCGGGGCTACGGGGTACATTTTGGGACATCCTCAGACCTCCGAGTCAGAGCGGCATCATTCCTCAAGCTAAACGACTTTGAGTCTTGAGAAAAACCATCGTGATGACTTGGATCTGGTGAAACTGAACGTCAGTACAAACACCGTCAGAAAAAACTGGAAATGTTATACTGGCATTTATATCGAGATACATAATAGTTTTCTAAGTTATACGATCCACTATGTGCTCGACCAGGCCTGCGTTTGGTCTGACACCTTTTCTCTGAGGCCGTTTGGTCTGACGGTGTTTGTGCTGACGTTCAGTTTCACCAGATCTGAGTCATCACGATGGATTTTCTCGAGACTCAAAGTCGTTTACATTTGCTACATTGTTTTACATTTATTTTTATTTTTGTCACAAATGGCTCGTGCTCATGTGAAAAATGAAATTGCAAATGTAGGCATTTCATTTAATTTTCAATTTTGGCAGGATATTTGCGCAGATGTTTGGAAAAAGAAATGGCAAAAAGAGGTTTGCATTTTCATTTTATGGTTTTAATTTTAATTTCTTTTTTTGGCTGGATTTGCCTCCCATACATGTCGGCATGCTGACTGTTGAGACACCAAGGGAGTTTGGTACATACCTTGAGACTCTACAACATGTCTACTCATGACGCAAAGTGAATGAAAGGAATTTCTGATGTCAACTGAACAAGCAGCTCATGTTAGAGTTGTTAGAGTTATGGTTCACAAATGATTAGGACAGATCTCATCAGATCTCAAGGTGCATGACTTATGAATAGCCATTCAGAGGAAAAGTTACCAAAACACTTCGTCTTACATTAAAGATGTTGAAGAGATATGTCATTTTCTTCTGAAGCTTGTCACTTGTCACAGTAGACTGTGACCCCGGTTGATCTCTGCAATTAAAATAAAGGTAAGCATTCTTAGTGTAGTCTTTTCAGCCAGCTGGTGCTGCGACACCTACTACATTTAGGATTGTTGAACTGCAGTTGCTAAAAATATCATGAATGAAAATAACTTCAAAACTTTCACTTTTATCATCAACTGTGTCGCTAAAATAAAAGCACTCTTAACTCTCCAGAGTAACAACAAAGGCAGAATTCTGTGTTCCAGTGAAAGGACAAATATAAAAAAAATCAAATTCAACTAGTGCAGTTATCTGATGGTGAATGTTTTAAGGGTCCTTATTTCTCTGTCAGTGTAATTCCAGTGTGTAGATTCACTACAAGATACATGGTAAATAACTCTGTGCCCCATTTCAACAATATGATTGGCCAATATCCAGCCAAATTTGCTTCTTGTTTGCATAAAGTTCGATCAGAACGAGAGACAGCAGAGTAAACAGGGCTGCATCAGCGGTGGCTGCACTGGTGAGCTGTGTAGAGCTGTAGTGTCTCTCTCTCTCTCTCTCTCTCTCTCTCTCTCTCTCTCTCTCATTACAGTAATTGCATTTTCTCTCTCTCTCATTACAGTAATTGCATATTCAATGTCACCTCCACACAACTAGAGTGGTAAATATAAATTTATTTCAGAAGGAGATCAGAAAGAAGTCTGAATTCTGTCTAAAAAACAACAAAAGCAAAGTATTTCTGTATTACAGACTAACTGCCTCACTTACGAAACAAGTTATTATGTAGTTTGAAATGCATGGCCTGATTGTTCCCTGCCAAAAGCAGTGTTATTACTGTATTTTACACTATATTTTAACTTGGTAGTGTTTCCTGGAACATTTTTTTTTTTTAAATGATGTCTCTGTTCTAATATCTTTGCACTTTAAATTCAAATTGAAAATTAGATTTTTTACTTTAAAGACAAAGTTAAAATGTATGTAATAAGTATTAGTTTTAAATAGATAACTAACTGCACTGTAAAATAGCTTAAGTGCTTCACTTTCTCAAATTCACATCCCTATGGCAATGCAAAATAAATATATGTAAAATTTGCAATTTAAGTTGCAATAGAAGACTGGACTGTTTGGAAGTACCTTGGCTTTGGGGGAGAATCATTTTCCTGGTCCTTCTTCAAAGGCTGATGACTGGATTCAGAGTTTGAGGTCTTTTCTTTATCCCTGAGAGAGAGAGAGAGAGAGAGAGAGAGAGAGAGAGAGAGAGAGAGAGAGAAACACTTCAGCTTAGTGTGTTTATTTCAGTTTATTTATTTAGAGTCAGCCCTTGCTTTGATACACACCACATAACTGAGAACACATAGAAACAAAATATACTAATTTGTGTTTGTCAGTGAAACCTGACAAAACCTGAAGCAAGGTTATGGTGCTAGACACAATATATAAGCAAGAAACTGCACTTCAAGATTGAATAAAAATGATCAGATAAAATTTACACATCAAAAAACATGGCCTAGCATTGACTAGAACCAATCAAGAGACTTAAAAAGGCCACTACAATTTAACACAGGCACTTCTCCGATATGGATATACACAAACAACTCTGTCACTCCTGCGGTCCACCAAGCTCTTATGAGCCCTCTCACCAGTGAACTTGTCACTCTTGAGCTCTCTTTGGCCATCTGCCTGCACCTTCTGATGACACATTCCACTTTACATCTAAATGAGATTTGCTCTCAGTGTCCCTGCCTGATGAGAACCTCGTCCCCACTGCACTCCTGACTTAACTGTGACCAAGCAATTGTCAATTGTCTGGACAAATTATTTAGTCTGAGCTAAACTAAAACACTTTGCCTCAGCTCCACCAGAGTTAAACAATACCTGCCCTCAAATGCTTAAGGCTCATGCTGGCATGCAAACTATATTACAGTGTCATTGCCACGATGGTGACATATGCCCTACAAGATGAAATCACAGCACCAATGCACATTCTACACATTAACATCATCCCACCAATGTACATTCCAAGCAGCAGCCTTGCCATGCCTTGACCAGGCTGACATAGATCCACTTAGTGTTTTTTGCTTCATTTTCTTCTCCTTTTTCTTCATGTTTATGCCCCCATTTTCTCCCTAGCACACACCAAAATTCAAATCTCTCCCATACCAAATTTTTATATTCATTAAATGGGATGCTCCGGCATCATGCCTTCATTGTCATTGTACAAAATATACAACAAAAATTAAGAGTGCTACTCATAATCAGTGCAAACTAAGAAAGAAAACAAAGCAAAACAGAAAAACTAGTTAACAAAATGTAGTCATGTAAAATATGGGGTCACGTGGTAGGCCCTGGACTATAACTCACACAGCCTGGGTTCACATCCTCAGTCTGGTGAGCCATCCACTGTTACACAGTGGAGTTCTCCTATCTGCTACTGAGTGGCCAGCATACCACAATATAATGCAGTATGCTAATATACTCTCTATCGTGGAGAAGTAGAAGGCCACCAGCAGCTTCTCCTTTAGATTATTCCTTCGAAGTATTCTCAGAAAGTGCAGTCACTGCTGGACCATTTTTATCACTGCTGTCGTGTTGGCAGACCAGGAGAGATTCTCTGCGATGTGAGTTCCCAGAAAATTGAAGGTGGAAACCCTCTCCACACAGTCTCCATTGATGTACAGTGGGGCAGGGTCCACTCTGTGTTTCCTACAGTCAATAACAATTTGTTGGTATTACTAATGTTAAGTGCCAGGTTGCTTGTAGAACACCACTTTGACAGCTTCTGTACTTCATCTCTATATGCTGACTTGTCTCCTCCAGCCCAACCACAGTAGTGTCATCGACAAATTTAACAATGGTGTTGGTGGAGTGGATGGGAGTGCAGTCATAGGTGCACAGAGCATAGAGAAGTGAACACAGAACTGCTGAGAGCCACTGCTAAGCATGAGAGTGGAGGAGGAGTGGGGGCTAATTCTAACGGTCTGTGGGTGATTTGTAAGAAAATTGTACCTAATTTGACCAATATTTATCCAGGCACAGGGGAGAGGGGGAAAGCCTAAGACAGACAGCTTGTTGACTAGCGTATTGGAGAGAATTGTATTGAAGGCCATAGTACTGAACTTCACATAGTTCCCTGGGTATTCTCGATGACTCAGCGCAGTATGGAATGCTTTAATGATATCATCCTCTGTAGATCAATTTGCTCTATACACAAACTAATGTGGAAAGTTTGGAGGAAGGCTAGCTTTGATATGGTGTGAAATTCTTTCAAAACATTATATGACTACTTATGTCAATGTGATTGGTCTGTAGTCCATTAGACTGTTGATGGCTGGCTTCTTTGGGACAGGGATGAGGGTAGCAGACTTCAGACAAGGTGGGATAGGGGCTTGTCAAGTGGCTTGTACTTTGCCAATTAGACATCAGATCCAGTGGCCTTCCTTGGATTCACAGCCTTGAGCACCCGCCTTACTGGATGTTCCTGTGGAGTAAGTGTATGGGGGCTAGAGGTCTCTTGAGGCAGTATAACTGGAAGAGGCCTCTTTGCCTCAAAGTGAGCAAAGAAATCGTTCAGTCCTTCTGCTAGCAAGACATCTGTGCTGACAGGCACAGATGCATTGCCTTTGTGGTTGGTAAGTTGCTGCAATCTCTGGGTAAGACGGTCTTCAATTTTTCTCTTACAGGCCACTGTTGCAGCTTTAATGCTGCAATTAATTTAATCTTTTATCTCCTGTATGAGCAAATCTACATAAGTTGTATCACATACTTTAAGTCACATCGCACAATTGCTTCCTTGTGACCTCCTGATATTCTCCTGTCCCATCATCAACAATGTTGTCTTAACAGTTTAAACTGGGGAAATTTAACCTAAAAACACAGATTTGTGAAACTGCCTATAGATAAGGTACACCACTTGAAGCACTGAAACACCTTCAACTACAGAATGCTCCCACCCACTCATACTGATATTGCCAGAATCTGAAGCTGCATCATTACTTTCTCAACCATCATATGGCTCCCCCTGCTAACTCTGCATTCTCTTCCTGCCTCTATAGTCCCTTGTTGCCCCTTCTTTTTAAACCCACCAACTATCCCAAGGACACTGCCACTCTTACATCACAGCATTGAACAGGTCCCCAGTACGCTAGATTTTATCAGTGTCCTAACACGTTCTATTTTTAAGACTCTTCCACATTCCACATCAACCTCATTAACCACACTTTTTGTATTTTACCACAGAGGCTCCCCTCCTAGTCTTATTTTATCTGCTCTCACCACTGGATGGTTCACCTCTCTGCTGGCTCCATCGCTCACCACACATCTGACACCTCACCCTCCTTCCGGATGCCATTTCTTCTCAGGCCCCTGCAAGCTGAGCTTGACCGCCGCATTGGTTTATTTTGGAAAGATGCTGCTTGTGCTCTTAGGAATGTGCTGCTCCACTAGTCATTTCAGATGCACTTCTGACATCACTGATTTGCCCTCCCCTGAATTGCTGACTTTGTTCTCTCATCCCAATATGTCTTTAGTCCATGGGAGCCCCCTCATTATCAGTGGCCTTGTAAATCATCCTTTGAAGGCTTGAATTACAAGCAAACGATCCTCATCCAACATGATGACTGAAAAACTCTCTTGTTGTCAATAGGACACTCCATACCAAACTACCTAATGTGGTCCCACCAGCAGAGTCACCACAGTCATCCCGTCTCATCCTCCATCTGAACTGGTTTGTACTGGGATTAAACTCTCACTTGCCATCTCAGTTTGTCCACAGGTTTTACCCAAAAAGCGCAGGGCACCCCTTCCTCCTGTCCCCATCCCTCACTTGCTTAGAAAGATCTATTCACATCAACACCATCAGGAGCTTGTCCTTCATTTCCTCTGGTGGTGCAGTGGACTGAATGTTCAGTGAATTCTGCTGACAGCAGCAGCAGGGTACAAAACACCAATAGCACACTTTGTGATGTGTTCAGGTTCCTTGCTATAGCAGAGATGGTAGTGACAGCTGTTCTGACAACAAGCTGGGACCCAGAATGCCTGTAATGTTCTTTCAGCAGTTCATCAGCCTAATCTGTTACCAGTATCACAACAACCTCAAGCTGCCCTGGGCTACAAAGCTGGCTACACTTAATATTACATAAAGGTGTCAACATTTCTGCAATTATGGTTACAGGCTTGACCCTTTCTGATAATTTCTGTGTCTTCTTTGACTTACTGACCTCTCTGGACAAACCCTCCACAGCAGATGTGGCATTCCTTTCCACAGAGAAATTATAAGAATTTGCTTTGTTTTTTCAAAGTAAAAAATAAGTACATTGACTATCTATACCACACAGCCAAATAATGAAACTATGCTGTCTCTATGACCACCTAGAAATAGCTTGATTATTATGTGGCAATTTGACACAGTTGATCATTACAATTATGTTAAATTTCTCCGTTTTATACAACTGAGAGGAAACAGTTTGGCACCTTAAATCATTAGCATGTTGTCTCAACACTCTGCCCTTTTTAAAACTACTGTGGCATCCCACCACTGGTTAGTGTTGCCTCTGAAACTCTGGTGGCATGGCTGTGCAAAGAGACTCATGGGAGGCATGCCCCCTGTAAAAAGGAACTTTCATGTTAGTGTTGCTGCTCTGACAGTTTAGGATATGTGTGCATTGCTTCTGTTTTATTGTATCATGTCATAAGTCATTTTATGTGAGCTGGTGGTTACCATGGAGGGGACAGCTATGACTAACGGTGGCCTCTCCCTATGAGTTCACTGCTTTTCTATGTGCCTTTTTGCTATTGTTAATAAAAGAACACTTCTCACAACAGAATGATGGCCTCTCCCATGTCTCCTTTTTCACCAAAACGCTACACTATTTTTAACTCTGTTGCAACAGATTTGCAGCAAATAGTTGGCTTTGGGCCAAATTCTAAAGAACAACAACATTCAGTGCATTTATGTGCACTCAATAATCCAATCATAATTGGATTTCTGCAGTTTTCTGATTATTCCAATGGTCATGTAAACAGCATACTCTGATTTCTTAGATTGGAGTAAATTCTAAAAATCCGATTAAGAAATCAGAAAAAGAGAGCTGGATTTTAGCTTGGTAATCAAAAGCGGTGCAATGTTTAAAAGAAAACATAGCATGAAGTTTGAGTTTTACATTATATTTCTGTCATATCTTCTTCTGTGAGTTTATTGGCTGGTTGTAGAACAGAAATCTGATTACTGCTTGACTCATGTAGACCCAGAGTTTCCCCATTAACTGATTTCTCAAGTGCATATAAACACACTGATTGGGTTGCTGACAAAATCTGATTTTCTGAAGTTACTAAGTAAATGAGTAAATGCACTAATTGATTACCACAGTTATGCAGATGATAGACAGATATATTTGTTTCACTCACGAGATGATTACAGTCCAATAGACTCATTGTGTCAATGTGTGGAACACATTCACAATTGGATGATGCAAAATTTTTAGAGCTGATGTGTTTGGGCAACAAAGAGAAAGTTATATTAGTGAATACTTCGATTCCTGGGCTCTAAAACCCAAAGATCATGTCTGAAATCTTGGTGTTCTAGTAGACTTTGATCTCACTTTCACTAGCCATATTAAAGCAGTCATCAAAACAGCCTTCTATCATCTTAATATAATATAATATAATATAATACAGCTAGAATCAGAAGTTTGGTGTCCCAACAAGACCTAGAGAATCTCATCCATGCTTCTATCTTCAGCAGGGTGGACTACTATGATGGTAGTGATTTTTCACTCCAGGTTAAAAAGAATTCTCTTTTCATGTGCCTATAATTGAGCTCTAAGAATTGTACCCTACTCCTATTGCAATTTAACTTTAATAAGCTAATTAAAATAACATGTAAGCTCTTAATTTCTTTTTTCATTTTGCTTTTACGTACTTTACACTTCCTTTTGATTATTAACTGAAGTAGACCTCCCTACCTGCTCAGGCTAAACTCCTACACCAAACTATATGAATCTTAGTGTGCCACATGTAACTCTGATAGTCAAATGCTCTACCATCTAAACAAACCTTTGTTCTGAATCTAAATTATTCAACAGGACTAATTAAGTAACACTTTCTAATAATGACAGTTTATGAACATCTATTAGCTGTTGCTAATCAGGTATTTAGAATTATGAATTAATATATTAACATTAATTCATAATGGACATATAAGCCATTAATTCATTATGAAATAATGAGCTTCTACCTCATAATTAACAAATCATGATCTAACCAGGAATTTAAGCATTATTAGTTTGCAAAGTAACAGTCTACTAATATTAATATATGTTTACTTTTTAAGATATAAGTATAGTATAGTACAAGTATAACATCCATGTTCAGAAATTCAGATGTTACCCAATATTAGTAAATATAATATGTGAATATTTACAAATCACATCTAAAAAATAGTTAATCCTGACTGGTAATGCAATGCACCAAAGAATAAATAAATAAAGTAAACAAAAGAAAAAAAAAGGACTCAATATGATTTGGTGAACTTGATTTGAGATATTTGTACATAAACAACTTAAAAAAATATTTCTGTACACCTGTAAAGCAGGGGTGACACACAGTGCACCATTGATAAAGCAGGGCTACATGGGATGAGACAGGAAAGGGTGGAACAAAGAACAGGACAAGGTGACAACACTTTAGATTAGGGCTTGCAGAAATATTACATTTAATTTACATTTACCTAAGTCATTTAAAAAACATGATTAAGCATTGGTTTATATGTGTCTTACAAAGTTAATTTGTTAATGTTGATATATTAATAAATTAATAACTATAAATATCTAATAATGTCATGATTAGTTAATTATGAAATAAGAGCTGATAAACATCAAAAGTCATAAACTATCATTACTCTAAAGTGTTACCCCTGCATGTACTTATAAAATATCACTGAATGGCAAAATTCTTATTAAAACAAAACTGTACTATGAAATGATTCCAACAATTCTCCATCGTGGAGACATTTCTAATCACGAAGAGCAAGAGGAAGTGAAAGAAATACCTTTTAAGAGAGGCTGAGCCCTCTTGTATGTTTGGAGGTTCTGGCAATGACCGTGCACTCTTCAAGGACACAAAGTTGGGTATACGGGGGTTTGACCTTCCATTGGTTTCACTAAAATCAAAAAGATAGGTATGTTAACAATTTTTTTCTGATAAAATGCAGTTATTTTCATTGCAAATTATTATTCACCTGCTTAAAAAATAGAAAAAAAGAAAAGTGATTGTAAAACATGGCTTTTATTTTTACACTAATAGACAGTGTTGCAAAGCAGCTTTACAGAAAATCTGATTTAAATGTATATTAGGCACGTGGAGAGCGAAAGTGTTGGAAAATTCCAACAGCATCTTCCTTGGGTAGCACCAGATTATTAACAAAACCCAGACTAAAATATTTACCAAACCCCTGGAAATGAGACCTCAGTCAGGGAACATCATAGATCACTGGAGATGCTTTATTGGCCTTTGCATAGGAGGGATATTTTAGCAGCAGTGATACTTCTAGAGCAGAACACACATGGACTGCTTACAGATTCTGTCTTTTAAACACTTATTAGATGAAGTGCATCACAATGTCCTGTAAATCTGACACAAAAAAATGATTTGTCTTCTAACAAATCCTCTCTGTGGAGATGACAGTAAAAATCTGTGAGAGGGATTAGGATGAGTTAGATAAAGTGAAAGGAATACTTTTCCTGAGGGGTTGATCCCCCTTTGAAGTTTGGAGGTTCTGATAGTGACCGGTCACTCTTCAAAGACACATGGCTGGATACAGGGGACTTTGCTCTCTCCTTAGTGCCACTAAAATCAGAAAAAAAGTTTTTAGTAGCGTTTATCTAAAAAAGTGAAATTCTTCTCATTACAAGATGCCTTCTTGACCCATTTCAATAGTTATATGTTTACAAACACAAAAATGGTTTGAAAACTTTTCAATAAAACCAATAAGTGATAGCTATAAACTCAGATACTGATAGATGGTGATACTGTAATATGGCACAATCTAACATTTATCATTTCCAACATATTGGTTGTGACTTATAAAGCCAACAGTTACTGTCCAAACAAAGGAAGAAATACTGAGAGTAACAAAAATTCAAAACGAGAAACATCCAAAGACCATGTGAAATAACCACTTAGGCTGGGCCTATGCTACATGATTTGTTGCCTGATTTTAAGCCCGATTTGCCCCTTGCAAAATAAATTTCCACAATCTGAAGTAATTTTCCAGGTCAGGAGCTCGATCTGAAACGGCTGACGGTGTGGTTAATCTGTAGTGTGGGAGGAGCAACAAGTTAATCTTTAGCCCTCCAATCCAACTCTGAAGTGATCCGAGATCCTCTGATATTATCAAATATGTTTGATATTTACGACTCAAAACGTTGATGAGTCCTGCAGTGAGAGGCGGTCAGAGAATTACCCAGTGAGTGATTCAAACACCCAAGCCAATCAGAGAGCTGGAAGAGTGGAGAAAAGGAGAAGAGACATGCATGAACAGCGGAACGGAGATAGAGGAGTAGATAGGCAGATACCCAGGCAGATAGGAGCCGATATCATGTTTATAATGTTCATCCAGATCACGTCACTCTATTTATAGTGTCAGTTTACAGTGAAATATTTCTCCAGCTCTCACTGTATCAGCGTGTCTCAGCCCGATTTTAATCCCCAGTTTGCACTTTCGCTCCACATAAAAGCACAAACAGGTCCAGTAAGTTCAGCTCTGTTTGTGTCATGTGATCTGAGGAGATCTGGGAATTTGAGTTCTTATTGTGTGTGTTATACTCTCTCTTTGCTCTGCCGTCCAGTGTGAGCGCCTCACGACAAAAAGACAAGAAACTCTGTGACAGACTGACATTAACTGTGTGATGCTCTCCGCTTTAGAAGATTTTTAACAAAACAGATGTGTAGTGACGCTCAGCCTTAGAGGAGCCAAGTCTGAATGGAGAAACTCTCTAAGAACACAACACATTTAAAACGGATACAAATCCAATCGCTCAAACCACTTCATACGGTGATCTGAGACGCATTTAAGCCATGTTATAACAGCGTAAACACATTCAACAATCAAAACCTCTCCCAGTACATTCAACAATCAAAACCTCTCCCAGTACAACTGAAAGCCCTCCCAGTACAACCAAAACCTCTCCTAGTACAACCACGACCTCTCCCAATAAAACTAAATCCCTTCCCAGTACAACCAAAACTTGTCCCTGTACAACTAAAACTCCTCCCCACGCCCTACGTTACTGGGAACATAATATATGTTTGCAAGAAAGATAATCCTGGAGGACACACATGGTCAGGAACAGTATATAACAAAATGCTTAACAGCAACATGGCCAGACACTACTGTGCAAAACAAGCCACAGACAAAAAGGCCAAACAGATAAACGATTAGTAATTGGTTTTCACGTAATGAGCGGATTTGCATATTTCCTCGTACTTTGACTACTAAGTGTAAATACATGAGGCTAAATTCTCATCAAGATACAATCCAGCTAATCACATGAAGTGACCAGGTGTAAACGGGGTCCAAGATTAAAAAGGAGAAACTGCTTTAGAACATGAAGATGGCTCACTGAGAGGACCTACAACTCAAAAAAAGTGAGAGCATGAGGAAGGAACACTGAGAAATTACAGTTGATCACTATATTCATGTAATTGTGATATATTATCTGTATTATACTGGCTCTTGTATAATTGTGTGCGCATCTATTTCTATTTCACAATAAAAGCCCAATCTAATTTCACCCCTCACCGCTACCACTTAGCCCTTAGCCCTCTGTTTTGCACTTTCACGTCTATGGGTAGGGTGTCCTGATTCTAGTTAAGATAGAGGGGTAGGGCGAAGTGTTAGAGCTACATGGCCCTCCAAACCGAAGTTTTCAAAGACACACTCCAAACAGAGTGTTATGAGAAAAAAAAAGAAAAAACAGAAAGATGGCTGCACAAGAGACCAAAGACACCCACAAATGTGAGAATGTTCTGTGTTAAAAAATTACAATAACCATTATATTGTCAGTGTTTAATGTCATGTCCATGTTTTATGGTTCTTTTCTTCATAACAAGCATAAAAATCGCTAGTAGTATGTTAATGTCTTGCTAGCTAAATTTCCTGGTCCACGTTAAATAGTCCAGCAGTACCGACGTCTGAGGCACCAGAATGTAACTGCTGCTCCATTTAAGGTAGAACAGGAAAATTTGCAGAAGAAGCTGGCAAAAAGCTTCATATCACAGAAGAATTAGGGGACTGACAGGGTCACCAACAGAGCACCGCTAGTAACTGTTAATGAAGTGATGCTCTTTTTATTTGAGGGTCTCATTTCAGAGGAAAGATCTTAATCACTACCCTCTGACTCAGTTCCAAGGGGCAAGATTGAACTCAAAAACAAGGGGTAGGGAAAAAAAGAAGACTGGGCCTAAAAATATACAAATATAAAAATATACATTATAGTTTTTATGTCCATGTGATGCTGCCACTTGCTCCGTGTTGCAGAAGGGGCTTTAGAGGCAGGTGTAGTATGCAAAACTGTGCCACGTGCTCAGCCCCCCCACCCCCCTCCCATTTAAAAGTGACATTTGTTGCTGTTACTGTTGCTGTTATTGGTTATTAGTGTAGTTTTGTGTTTAGGTGTTATTGTGTTGATGTGGTTTCACTTTACAATTTCTTACTTCAATAGTTTTCAAAGGACGGGTGCACAATGTTATTCTGTGTAAATTATCATTATCTGTAACTAAGATACTTACCTCCCATTTGTGAAATCAATACATTTTAAACTTGTATAACATGTTGATTTCTGTGCACTGAAACAGCTGAGAGCTGATAGAGTGTCTACAAATTACAATCATCAAAATCCAAACGTGATGCACCAATATGAAAACTGATGAACCACAAGAGGCCTTTTAGCAGATAACGCAGATGAACAGACAGTGTTTTTAGAGTGGCCTCTATTTCTAATTATAGTTGATGAGGGGACTCAAAAGGAGATGTTTACCTGACTGATCTTTGGATCTAGTTCTCTTAATTTTTTCACACATTTCTAAATTTGATCTTCTTTCAAATCTGGCGTAAATTGTTTAACCAGACTAATTAAGTAAAGATGTTAAAGTGCTTCCATTAGTTTACAAAATGTTCCTAAATTACAGACATTACAAATAAAAAAATCCACTCTAAAGCCAGTCTAACAGTTGTGCCTTCAGGAACCAAATCCCAATAGAGAAAGTCTCTAAGAGCCTGAGGAAGAACGACTGAGGGGAGATGCACTGAGCCACCACAAATAAAAAAGTCCACTCGAAAATCAGTCTGACAGTTGTGCCTTTGGGAACCATTTCTAAGCATTCAAAAAGGAATTTGAGAAGAGAATGAGAAAGTGAAAAGATACCTTTCCTGAGGGACAGATCCCTCTAAGTTGGGAGGCTCAGGCAGTGATCGGTTAGTCGTCACGGACACACTACTAGATACAGGGGATGTTGATCTCTCCTCAGTTCTGCTCAAATCAGACAGAAATTGAGCATCAGCTACTTCTTTTTGTGGTGTGTTAAGCATGTAGTGGATCATGCACTTCAGTATTCTTTTTAAATATGACTCAAGTGGCACTTTGTACATCTTTTTATTTGCTAATAAATTGAGGTTTTCATCAATCTTGTCTGGGCAGATGATAATACACATGCATCTGTGGACGGGATTAGGATGAGCAAAAAGAAAAGAAAGAGCACCTTTTCTGAGGGGCTGATCCTCCTTTGAAGTTATGTGGTTCTACCATGGACTGGTCACTCTTAAAGGACACACAGCTGGACACAGGAGAGCCTGACCGTTCCTCAGCTCCACTGAAATCAGAGAGAATGGTGTGCTAGCTGGTTTATCTAATGAAAGGAAATTATTCAAATCTAAACCTATTGCACTGTTTAATAGTTACTACCAGAAGTAATCACATATTAATGAAGATATTTGAGAACTTTACTTCAAAGCAGAAGCTCTTATTCACCATTAAATTGAAAAAAAAAGGAAGAACCACTGAGAGGAGCTAAGATTCATTGGAAAGTCTTAGAACATGAGGAAGAACTGTTGACTAGAACTAAGACTCAAAAGAAAACAGTGACTTGCAACTTTGACCTGAGTGTGTGGACAGTTGAGCACGCACTGGCTGACATTATACAGTGTGAGAGCTTCCAAAAAGATCCAGAGTTTCCTACCAAAAGCTTGAGATGTGGCAGCTCTATTCTCTCTGTGTGTATGTGGCTTTTTGGCTTTAGTTTTGGTCCTTTTAGTGTCTTTATTCTGTACGTGTTTGTGTGATATTTCAGAAGTGATGAGATGTTCCAGGCCTGCCAACATTGGGAAAATATTTTGTGTAGCACAGTAGTGTAATGCTACAAAAAAGAAAAAAACACCTTTCCTTAGCACACGGTCATTTCCACACTCGTCGCCATATCATCATGTTTGGTTATTCAACAAGGTCTGCTGTTCTCTCTCCCTGTCAGTAGCTGCGTTCCAAATCCTACGCCTCAGATGACGTAGGCTGCATTTCTCTGCCTCTACGTCATAGTAGGCCGCTCCAAAGTGAGGGACCCTTTGTGTACAGCCTAGAAATGCAGCCTACGTTCTGAGTGATTTCAAGGACTCATCAGATGTATCCTTCCAGGCCTTCAGTTACCCACAGTTCTCTGCGCAAGAACAACGCGAAGGAGAAAAAGAAAAAAAAGCACCACAATGATGGAAAACGAAAAGTTTTTTTATGAAGACTTTGTTTTAAAATGTAAGTTGTTCACGTTCTTGAATTTATCCTCATTATAATATAAAGTGTAAAATGACTGACTAATTAACGCATCCATCCATATATTGTATATCATCCCTATATCATATTTTATTTAGAAGTATTAGTGTATGTGTAGGTTATCGTACTACATAAGAACTTCTCTATTTCCATAAGGAAATGGAAAAGCAACAAACTCAATGCAGCAGCTCCATTTTCTCTCACCAGTTCTCTCAGGAGTTTGGCGCCACTCTGGTGGGGTCACCACGCAGCCTCGTTAGGGCTGTTCCATTTGTGTGACCGACAGGCTACTAAGGAGGAGTCTTCATAGGACAGTTTTACTGAGGACCAGCACTACCTCGGCTGTAGACTAGGCTTCGGAATGCAGCTACAGTCTACTTCAATTGTCATAATGCTTATTTTAACTCTAAGGCACACACACACACACACACACACACCTACACACACACACACACACACACACACACTCACTCACACCTCCCAGTAACTTTCTAGGTAATATTATTTCTACAGCACGTGCACTCACTTGATCACTTCCTTTCCTTGCAGTCACAGGTTTGGGTGCAATAATCTTCATGATTACAGCACTATGAAAAGTCTTATTTAACATTCTGCGCCACACAGACAATATAATCTAATGTTACTTTGACAGCTTAAATGCCTGGTGAACAAGCAAGCTAGCCGGCAAATTACGTAACGTTAGGCTAACATTATTAATGGTAAATATTTTCCCAAGGTTGGCAGATCTGCAGTATGTTAACTCAATTCACAATACAAATTTTTCCACATCCACTCCAGCCTGTTTATCTCCACTAAGGAGCTAAAAGCACCATCCTCCCTCGTTTAACCAGCCAGGCACAGTGAGGAGGGGAATGAAAGGGATTTACCAATTTGTCTTCCTAAGGACTAGCAGTGCCAATAGCATTTGACCAGTTGTGAATTGTGGCAGCCTTCGCCCTATGAAATCTAACTGTAGCCCGTTCCAAAATAAGAATATTCAAAACAAAAGCAATGCCAAGATGAAGATAACTGAATATCTGCTGCAAACCAACCCTTCAAAGTAGATGTTTTGGAAGCTGTTAAAGCTCTTTATTGCTGTGAATTAAGAGTTACATTAGAATCATCACCTTGTAGAAGCAAACCTGGACATTTTCATCAGAAAAGTGCGGCATGGCGTTACATAGATCCTGTGAACGAGCTTGAGATGTATGAATTGATGAGAGAATTCTTTTGGATGAAGTGAAGATATTATACCATATCACATCCCAATCTAGACTTACACTGAGAGTGCAAAGCTTCCTATTCCAGACAGAAACTCAACCTATAGTTTTTAATAAGCAAGTCATACAAATATGAAACAAATTCCTTGATTTTAATTAAAGTTATTCAGCTGCTCAAGTAGTGATCTACTAACTGGGAGTCCCAGGGCACGCCATAGGCATGGAGAGCTGAACGAAGCCTAAGATATAAAAAGTAAGATGTGGCAGGTATATATAAAAAAAAAATACATAAATCCTGAAAGGAACCTAAACTATCTGAGATAAAGATATCGCCCAATACACAGATATTCTTATTAGACCAAGGAGAGTAAACAAAGGGTCTTGAACCTGACAAAAGGAGATTATTGAGCCAAAAGGAGAAGAGCGATGAATTTAAATATCACATCCAAGAAATCGGCAGGACTGTGTCCATACATCAAGAGAACAGGTGATGATATGTCCAAGTCTAAGTGAAGAACTTCGATGTTTGATACCTGCAAAGGGTAAATTCTGAAGTCTGATAGGCGAGACTAAGTCTTGTTCTGTAATCGCCAAGATATTTTACAGAGAGGGTCAAACCAAATCTTTAAAGATCTTAGATTAAACAGCTCAAAAATATAATTTAAAATTAGGAAGAGCAAGGCCCCCATATGATTTCCTACACTGGAAAGAGGCTAGGCGCATTTTGGATCTTTTTTTATTCCAAATAAAACTGATACACGTCCTACCGATATCTTTAAAGAAACTTAGTGGAGGAGAGAGAGGTAGCATTGAAAATAGAAAATTCACTCAAGGAAGAATGTTCATTTTCAATACTGAAACCCCGCCAGCAAGAGAAATCTGTAATGAAGACCACCTTTCCAGGTCTTTTGTTAACGTATCTAGCAGGTGAGTAAAGTTAGTAAGGTAAAGTAAAGAGAGTAGGGTACATTTTAGCCCCCAAGTAAGTGAAACCAGAGGACTGCACCTGTATTGGTACAGAGTCCAGAAGGTTGAATTTACCAGAGACGGAACCAAGAGGCTTTATGATCGACTCTGCCCAGTTAATTCTGTAGCCCGAAAACACCCAAATTTATTCAATAAAGAGAGGGCACCCAATACTGAGTTATTGATATCTGAAAGAAAAAGAAGAATATCATCAGCATACAATGAAATATAGTGGGCAGAGTTAGTAATGCATATAGGTGAAATTAGTGAGTTTTGCCTAATTGCCTGGTCTAAACATTATAATGAAAGCAGAAAAAGACTCAGTGAAAGAGGGCACCCTTGTCTTGTTCCCCTCTGGATTGGGAACTGTGGAGAAATGATATAACCTGTGGAAACACCTGCTGTTGGGTTTCTATAGAAAGTTTGAATCATATTTATAAAAGAAGTTCCAAATCCAAATCTTTTTAGCACAGCCCACAAGTAACGCCACTCCAATCTAGCAAAAGTTCTCAGAGCATCTCGACTAAACACTGCATTGAAAATATAGGTGAAACGTGTCTAAGTGTCAAAGCACACAAAGAGGGAAAAGTGAAGTCAGTTTTATTTTGGCTGTTCAGAAATGAGGTGTTTCACTGAAAATAATGTAGTTATTCAAAATTAAAAAAGAAGACTCTAATTTTGAAAAAGGTCTCCCAGTGGACTGACACAGTAGTCCATATTGATATTATGTAAAACATGTATTCCTTACGATTATTGATTTAAATTTTTATGAACATGTCATTAAGCATTTATGTAAGTTGTTATGTGATTATCTGATTTGGAGACAGCCTTCGAGCAAAGTTGTACCAAAATTACGAAGAGCAAAAAGAAGTGAGAGGAATACCTTTTCTGAGGGGCTGATCCTCCTTTGAAGTTATGTGGTTCTACCATGGAATGGTCACTCTTCATGGACACACAGCTGGACACAGGAGAGCCTGACCGTTTCTCAGCTCCACTGAAATCAGACAGAAATTGAGCATCAGCTACTTCTTTATGTGGTGTGTTAAGCATGTAGTGGATCATGCACTTCAGTATTCTTTTTAAATATGACTCAAGTGGCACTTTGTACATCTTTTTATTTGCTAATAAATTGAGGTTTTCATCAATCTTGTCTGGGCAGATGATAATACACATGCATCTGTGGACGGGATTAGGATGAGCAAAAAGAAAAGAAAGAGCACCTTTTCTGAGGGGCTGATCCTCCTTTGAAGTTATGTGGTTCTACCATGGACTGGTCACTCTTAAAGGACACACAGCTGGACACAGGAGAGCCTGACCGTTCCTCAGCTCCACTGAAATCAGAGAGAATGGTGTGCTAGCTGGTTTGTCTAATGAAAGGAAATTATTCAAATCTAAACCTATTGCACTGTTTAATAGTTACTACCAGAAGTAATCACATATTAATGAAGATATTTGAGAATGTTACTTCAAAGCAGAAGCTCTTATTCACCATTAAATTGCAAAAAACATGTCCATTGTACTTTCTCTGACTCAAGACAAAACCTGCTTTTGAAGGTAACAATTCAATTTAATTTGACCTGTAAAGTACTAATAATGACTCAAAGCAGCTTTAAAGCAATCCAAGTCTAGAGGCCCTCTGAACATGCAGAGTTTCACAGTAGCAGGCAATCTACCTACAGGAAGAACCAGTGAGAGAAAACAAGACTCAAAAGAAGACCTTACTAAGAGCATGAGGAAGAACCACTGAGAGGAACCAAGACTGCAAAGGAAAACTCCATAAGTATATGAGGAAAAACTGCTGAGAGGAACCAAGACTCAAAGGAAGAACTTCCTGAGAGCATAATGAAGAACGACTGAGAGAAAAGCAAGACTCAAACAGAAAAACTTCCTAAAATCACAGGGAAGAACCACTGAGAGGAGCTAAGATTCATTGGAAAGTCTTAGAACATGAGGAAGAACTGTTGATTAGAACTAAGACTCAAAAGAAAACAGTGACTTGCAACTTTGACCTGAGTGTGTGGACAGTTGAGCACGCACTGGCTGACATTATACAGTGTGAGAGCTTCCAAAAGAGATCCAGAGTTTCCTACCAAAAGCTTGAGATGTGGCAGCTCTATTCTCTCTATGTGTATGTGGCTTTTTGGCTTTAGTTTTGGTCCTTTAAGTGTCTTTATTCTGTACGTGTTTGTGTGATATTGCAGAAGTGATGAGATGTTCCAGGCCTGCCAACATTGGGAAAATATTTTGTGTAGCACAGTAGTGTAATGCTACAAAAAAGAAAAAAACACCTTTCCTTAGCACACGGTCATTTCCACACTCGTCGCCATATCATCATGTTTGGTTATTCAACAAGGTCTGCTGTTCTTTCTCCCTGTCAGTAGCTGCGTTCCAAATCCTACGCCTCAGATGATGTAGGCTGCATTTCTCGGCCTCTACGTCATAGCAGGCCGCTCCAAAGTGAGGGACCCTTCGTGTACAGCCTTGAAATGCAGCCTACGTTCTGAGTGATTTCAAGGACTCATCAGATGTATCCTTCCGGGCCTTCGGCTACCCACAGTTCTCTGTGCAAGAACAACGTGAAGGAGAAAAAGAAAAAAAAAGCACCACAAAAATGAAGACTTTGTTTTAAAATGTAAGTTGTTCACGTTCTTGAATTTATCCTCATTATAATATAAAGTGTAAAATGACTGATTAATTAAAGCATCCATCCATATATTGTATATCATTCCTATATCATATTTTATTTAGAAGTATTAGTGTATGTGTAGGTTATCGTACTACATAAGAACTTCTCTATTTCCATAAGGAAATGGAAAAGCAACAAACTCAATGCAGCAGCTCCATTTTCTCTCACCAGTTCTCTCAGGAGTTTGGCACCACCCTGGTGGGGTCGCCACGCAGCCTCGTTAGGGCTGTTCCATTTGTGTGACCAACAGGCTACTAAGGAGGAGTCTTCATAGGACAGTTCTACCGAGGACCAGCACTACCTCGGCTGTAGCCTAGGCTTCGGACTGCAGCTACAATCTACTTCAATTGTCATAATGCTTACTTTAACTTTAAGGCACACACACACACACACACACACACACCTACACACACACACACACACACACACACACACTCACTCACACCTCCCAGTAACTTTCTAGGTAATGTTATTTCTACAGCACGTGCACTCACTTGATCACTTCCTTTCCTTGCAGTCACAGGTTTGGGTGCAATAATCTTCATGATTACAGCACTATGAAAAGTCTTATTTAACATTCTGCGCCACACAGACAATATAACCTAATGTTACTTTGACAGCTTAAATGCCTGGTGAACAAGCAAGCTAGCCGGCAAATTACGTAATGTTAGGCTAACATTATTAATGGTAAATATTTTCCCAAGGTTGGCAGATCTGCAGTATGTTAACTCAATTCACAGTGTACATTTTTCCACATCCACTCCAGCCTGTTTATCTCCGCTAAGGAGCTAAAAGCACCATCCTCCCTCGTTTAACCAGCCAGGCAGAGTGAGGAGGGGAATGAAAGGGATTGCTAACGACTAGCAGTGCCAATAGGATTTGACCAGTTGTGAATTGTGGCAGCCTTCACCCTATGAAATCTAACTGAAAAAAAAAAAAACAACGCCAAGATGAAGATAACTGAATATCTGGTGCAAACCAACCCTTCAAAGTAGATGTTTTGGAAGCAGTTAAAGCTGCCATTCAAACTCTTTATTGCTGTGAATTAAGATTTATATTAGAATCATCACCTAGCAGAAGCAAACTGGACATTTACATTAGAAAAGTGTGGTATGGGTTACATAGATGCTGTGAACAAGCTTGAGATGTATGAATTGATGGAGAGAATTTTTTGGGATGAAGTGAAGATATTATGCCATCACACCCCAATCTAGACTTTCACTGAGAGCGCAAAGCTTCCTATTCCAGACAGACACTCAACCTATAGCTTTTAATAAGCAAGTCATACAAATATGAAACCAATTCCTTGAGTTTAATTAAAGTTATTCAGCTGCTCAAGTAGTGATCTACTAACTGGGAGTCCCAGGGCACGCCATAGCCACGGAGAGCTGAACAAAGCCTAAGATATAAAAAGTAAGATGTGGCAGGTATATATAAAAAAAAATACATAAATCCTGAAAGGAACCTAAACTAGATATAGATAAAGATATCGCCCAAAACACAGATATTCTTATTGGACCAAGGAGAGTAAACAAAGGGTCTTGAACCTGACAAAAGGAGATTATTGAGCCAAAAGAAGAAGACTGATGAATTTGAATATCATATCCAAGAAATCTGCAGGATTGTGTCCATACATCAAGAGAACAGGTGATGATATGTCCAAGTCTAAGTGAAGAACTTCGATGTTTGATACCTGCAAAGGGTAAATCCTGAAGTCTGATAGGCGAGACTAAGTCTTGTTCTGTAATCGCCAAGATATTTTACAGAGAGGGTCAAAGCAAATCTTTAAAGATCTTAGATTAAAAAGCCCAAAAATATAACTTAAAATCAGGAAGAGCAAGGCCCCCATATGATTTCCTACACTGTAAAGAGGCGAGGCGCATTTCGGATCTTTTTTTATTCCAAATAAAACTGATACACGTCCTATCGATATCTTTAAAGAAACTTAGTGGAGGAGAGAGAGGTAGCATTGAAAATAGAAAATTCACTCAAGGAAGAATGTTCATTTTCAATACTGAAACCCCGCCAGCAAGAGAAATCTGTAATGAAGACCACCTTTCCAGGTCTTTTGTTAACGTATCTAGCAGGTGAGTAAAGTTAGTAAAGTAAGGTAAAGTAAAGTAAAGTAAAGAGAGTAGGGTACATTTTAGCCCCCAAGTAAGTGAAACCAAAAGACTGCACCTGTATTGGTACAGAGTCCAGAAGGTTGAGTTTACCAGAGACGGAACCAAGAGGCATTATGATCGACTCTGCCCAGTTAATTCTGTAGCCCGAAAACACCCAAATTTATTCAATAAAGAGAGGGCACCCAATACTGAGTTATTGATATCTGAAAGAAAAAGAAGAATATCATCAGCATACAATGAAATATAGTGGGCAGAGTTAGTAATGCATATAGGTGAAATTAATGAGTTTTGCCTAATTGCCTGGGCTAAAGGTTCTAATGAAAGCAGAAAAAGACTCGGTGAAAGAGGGCAACCTTGTCTTGTTCCCCTCTGGATTGGGAACTGTGGAGAAATGATATAACCTGTGGAAACACCTGCTGTTGGGTTTCTATAGAAAGTTTAAATCATATTAATAAAAGAAGTTCCAAATCCAAATCTTTTTAGCACAGCCCACAAGTAACACCTCTCCAATCTAGCAAAAGTTTTCACAGCATCTCGACTAAACACTGCATTGAAAGTATAGGTGAAACATGTCTAAGTGTCAAAGCACACAAAGAGGGAAAAGTGAAGTCAGTTTTATTTTGGCTGTTCAGGAATGAGGCGTTTCACTGAAATAATGTAGTTATTCAAAATAAAAATAGAGGACTCTAATTTTGAAAAAGGTCTCCCAGTGAACTGACACAGTAGTCCATATTAATATCATGTAAAACATGTATTCCTTATGATTATTGATTTAAACATTTATGAACATGTCATTAAGCATTTATGTAAGTTGTTATGAATGTGATTTGGAGACAGCCTTCAAGCAATGTTGTACGAAAATTATAAAGAGCAAAAAGAAGTGAGAGGAATACCTTTTCTGAGGGGCTGATCCTCCGTTGAAGTTATGTGGTTCTACCATGGACTGGTCACTCTTCATGGACACACAGCTGGACACAGGAGAGCCTGACCGTTCCTCAGCTCCACTGAAATCAGACAGAAATTGAGCATCAGCTACTTCTTTATGTGGTATGTTAAGCATGTAGTGGATCATGCACTTCAGTATTCTTTTTAAATATGACTCAAGTGGCACTTTGTACATCTTTTTATTTGCTAATAAATTGAGGTTTTCATCAATCTTGTCTGGGCAGATGATAATACACATGCATCTGTGGACGGGATTAGGATGAGCAAAAAGAAAAGAAAGAGCACCTTTTCTGAGGGGCTGATCCTCCTTTGAAGTTATGTGGTTCTACCATGGACTGGTCACTCTTAAAGGACACACAGCTGGACACAGGAGAGCCTGACCGTTCCTCAGCTCCACTGAAATCAGAGAGAATGGTGTGCTAGCTGGTTTATCTAATGAAAGGAAATTATTCAAATCTAAACCTATTGCACTGTTTAATAGTTACTACCAGAAGTAATCACATATTAATGAAGATATTTGAGAACTTTACTGCAAAGTAGAAGCTCTTATTCACCATTAAATTGCAAAAAACATTTCCATTGTACTTTCTCTGACTCAAGATAAAACCTGCTTTTGAAGGTAACAATTCAATTTAATTTGACCTGTAAAGTACCAATAATGACTCAAAGCAGCTTTAAAGCAATCCAAGTCTAGAGGCCCTCTGAACATGCAGAGTTTCACAGGCAATCTACCTACAGGAAGAACCAGTGAGAGAAAACAAGACTCAAAAGAAGACCTTACTAAGAGCATGAGGAAGAACCACTGAGAGGAACCAAGACTGCAAAGGAAAACTCCATAAGTATATGAGGAAAAACTGCTGAGAGGAACCAAGACTCAAAGGAAGAACTTCCTGAGAGCATAATGAAGAACGACTGAGAGAAAAGCAAGACTCAAAAAGAAAAACTTCCTAAAATCACAGGGAAGAACCACTGAGAGGAGCTAAGATTAATCCTATTCACTAAGAAATACGGATATAACATCATTTGCTATGCCATCTAATGCCATTTAAAAAAGGGGAATCCAAAATCAAAGTCAAACAGTCCAAGGTCAAAAGCCAGATCAAGATAACAGTAATCATAGGGGCAATCCAAGAAACAGAGTCCATAAACCAGAAGAGAAGGTCCAAAACATAAAAATAAAGAATACCAAAAGGGCTAGGCTAAGGTGAAATCTAAATAAACAAAGCAAAGGTCAAAGGTCACTAACGTACTGGAAGGCTCTGTGATGCTCTGTGAGACAAAGACAATACTTTGCAATGAGCTGACAAACTGAGGAGGTTTAAGTAGTGTGTTAAAGGTGACCTGAATCAATAATCAGGTGAAGCGGAGCATTGGGGAGTCACACCAGGGAGGTCTGAGGTCATGTGACAGCAGGGCCAGAGAGAAGTGTGACAGTCTTAATGAGTTTTAACTCTATTTAATAGCTGAACAGAATCTGTCATTCCTGTTTTGTACATTAATAAAAATAGTCAATAAAGTTAGTGTTGCCTGCATTAACAGTATTGATAGTTTCTTTGCATGTTCATAAAAATATATACATAAATCTTGCTTTATTGGCAGGTTTTCAGCTGTGGTCCTCTGGTGATGAAGGCATCCCTGACTGGTCAGAGTTGAGTTGAAATCTCCATAGGTGGTTGATACTGCCCCAAAGGGGGCGCTCAATAATACAGGCCACCCAAGAGGGTATTTGTACAGTGTGAGGGTGAAAGGGCAGGGGCTCAAACCCCCCTGGGTCAATCTGTGCGCAGGCTTGATATTATGTTTTTTAAACAGTGAAGTGATTCATATTTTTTCATACCTTGTGACCCACAAATTTTAAAAAATTAATGAGCTACTGCATAAAAAAATTGTATAAAAAAACTCAGTCAGCTTATTATTTCTGTCTGCAGTAAAGTGTTATTGCACTCTTTCCTTTCTCACTTTCTCTTTAGAGACACTGTTTTGGTTAGAGACATGTTTTTTATTAGGTGTGCTATTAAATCATAAGTGGTATATTTGCTTTGTTCTTTTCATGCAAGCGTCCATATAATCTATTAAAAAAGCACCAGAATTCTGGTTATTCTGATCAATCATTTTTGATGATTACTGACATGTTCATTAACTCTTAAATCTGTATAAAGACTTCAATATTCTACATGCTTACCTTTTGCTCTCACTGCGCTCCTCCTGGAGACTCATTTCAGAGGCTTTCCCGTACTGCCCTGCCATTATTTCAGAAAGGCAAGAGTACTCAGGACATAAGTCACATTAAACATCAGCACTAACTCCAGTGGCCTGGTACGACCATTCTGCTCTATCTGGTGAGAAAAGAAAAGGATATTATGAGATGGTCCAGTTAACTGAATTACCATTTTTATACAATAGAAATAAATTGCTACTTTTCTTGTCATTAAACTCGTAACACAAGTAATGGAGATAATCTTAACATTACTACTGCATCTACACTTCTCCTTGAAGATGCAAACTGCTTTGAAAAGACACATAACTCCACTGTACTCTGAAAATCATAAATAAAAAAAAGTATCTACAGACAAGGGTTTTACTATAATCTATAAAGAACTCATCAAGACTGATCATTTACCATAAACATCTGATTGTCTTAGAGGGACAATTACACACAAAAACAAAACTCATTGTAATTTCTTTATTAGGCCCAGGCATTCCAACACACTGTGCATATCATTTATTTAGAAATTCCTTGTTTACAGTGATATATACAGTAGTGTATGAGATGTATCACTTCCTGTGTCTGTACCTTAGTAAATAAAATGGCAAGAAAACAAAAACAAGAAAGCATCCCTTTTTTCTTTGTTGTCCTATCTGTTAATTAGCCCATTTGGAAAGAAAGCATTTTCTTTTGTCAAGCCTTCCTCCAGCCTGGCTGAAACTACAGCCAACACGGCCGCCCAGGACTCCAATTCCCAGAACTCCTTGCTGCATCACATGACTCAGGGCACTCACCGATCCACCTTTCAGCACTCTTAATCTCCAGACTTCTAATCACACACGCCTGTCACTCTCTGTATTTAACTAGTCTGTTTGTAAGCTGTCTTTGTGAAGTGTTGTTACATCTATCTGCGTACTGAGTGTTCCTCCCGTGTTCCTGACTGCTTTCCTGTGTATGACCTATTTTCCATTTATGACCTTGATTCTAGCTTTACCCTTTTGTTCTGTATTGGTATTCTGGTTTTCTGCTTTGGTTTATTGGGGGGATTTTCTGCTTTTTTAATTTATGCAAGATAAATTTGAGGGGAATGATTATCGCATTATTACAAAAAATCTATATCAGCAGAGGACAGCCCTTGGGGCCTTCTAGACCTTAAGAGAAGACCTAATGATTTGAAATACAAAAATACATGTCAATAATTTTAAGTTCATCATCATCATCATCGTTAACCGCTTAGTCCAGCTAGGGTCGCGGTAGCAGTTGGGAGAGCAGAGAATCCCAGATGACCCTGTCCCCCGCAACTTCCTCCAGCTCATTCCCGGGGGACCCCAAGCTGCTCCCAGGCCAACCTGGAGATGTAATCCCTCCAGCACGTCCTAGGATGACCCTGTGGTCTTGTCCCTGTAGGCCGTGCTCTCAATGTGGAGGAGCAGCGGCTCTACTCCGAGCTCCCAGATGGCCGAGCTCCTCACCCTATCAAATAGAATGTAGTCCGCCACCCTGCGAAGAAAGCTCATTTCCGCCGCTTGTATTCGCGATCTCATTCTTTCGGTCATTACCCACAGCTCATGACCTTAGGTGAGGGTCGGGACGTAGACCGACCGGTAAACCCTCTTCACCACTACAGTCTGGTATAGTGACCGCATTACTGCTGCCGCTCGTCCCAGCCAGCGGTCGATCTCACGATCCCTCTTCCCATCACTCGTAAACAAGACCCCGAGATACTTAAACTCCTCCACCTGGGGCAAGTCCATTCCCCTTACCTGGAGTGGGCATGCCATCCTTTTCCAGGCTAAGACCATGGACCATGGTGCTGATCCGCATACCGCATATATTTTAAATTCATTATCATTCAATAGACACATGTTTTTATTTAAACTCTGCAAGTATATACAATGCTACTCTTGTTTTGCTAATAAGTTTAATAAGTTTACAAAAATTAGCCAATCAGGAATTGTTTCTCCATGGTATGTAGGTAGGTATAGCAAACTAAGTTCTCCCATTGGTTAGGACTTCAGGAGCTGAAGCGAAGTCCTAACATGTTCGTGTAACTATCAGCATAATTACGGGCCAATTTTGTGATTAAAAATGTCATTCTAGTCCTTCTGGAAGTTACAGATACATCACTGATTAAATGCAAGTGGCAGCTCTACACCAGAGTTCACTGCGGAAAGAGTCACTATGAAACAGATCCAAGGTATATACAGCATCTCACAAAAGTGAGTACACCCCTCACATTTCTGCAAATATTTTATTATATCTTTTCATGGGACAACACTATAGAAACGAAACTCGGATATAACTTAAAGTCGTCAGTGTACAGCTTGTATAGCAGTATAGATTTACTGTCCTCTGAAAAGAACTCAACACACAGCCATTAATGTCTAAATAGCTGGCAAACTAGTGAGTACTACATATTTACCCTTAAAATTCTAAGTAAATTTTTTCCATTAGAATTCTAAGTACTACATATTTATCATTAAAATTCTAGGTACTACATATTTATCATTAAAATTCTAAGTACTACATATTTGCCCTTAAAATTCTAAGTACTACTTAATTGAGTTCTTAAGTACTACAGACTGGAATGTGTTTAAACAAGTGGCAACCTACAACAACACCACGGATCTCCAGGAGTATACTGACACAGTCACTGGCTACATTTCCAAGTGCACTGAGGATGTAACTGTTCTCAAGACCATCACGATT